GTCATTAGCTTAGTTCTTTCTAAGTTCCCACTCATTTCTATTCCAAACATGAGTCATCTCATATCCACAACTGTACCGAAACCCCACCCTGCTTTTGTATTTCTCCTCTTTTATCTGGCTGAAATTCAACTGCTAGGATGAAGTGCCTCTCAACAAACGGCATTAATCAAAATTCTTCTCCCATTTCTGCCGTTCATTAGCCATATCTTCAAAAACCAGAGAACTTTAGATCTGGGAATTTAAAATTATCTAGCTAAACCCGCCAACATTACTGTTCTTTCTGTTAAGATCCAAATAGATTTTTTTTTGTTTTTTAAGATTGGCACCTGAGCTAACACCTGTTGCCAATCTTCTTTTTTTTCCTTCTTCTTCCCAAAGTCCCCCAGTACATAGGTGTATATCCTAGGTGTAGATCCTTCTGGCTGTGCTGTGTGGGACGTTGCCTCAGCATGGCTTCATGAGCAGTGCCATGTCTGCGCCAAGGATCAGAACAGGTGAAACTCTGGGATGCGGAAGCGGAGGGCGTGAACTTAACCCCTGGGCCACGGGGCCGGCCGCCATCTTTTCCCTTCTAAATTGCTCTAAATTCCATGGTTCTAACTTCGCTTAAATCTCTTCTCAAGGCCTGGTCAATGTATAGCTCTGAGACGTACTTCTCAGCGGCTGAGTCCTTTTCAGCTCATTTTCTCTACAGTGCCTAGCAGCGCCTGGCACACTGCAGGCAGCTAGTAAATATTTGTTTAAAAAATTCCATCTTCTCTCCCTCACCTCTTCTCCCTTTGCTTTTTCCTCCGATCTCTTTCACACTCCTTTTTTTGTTTTTGTTTCTATTTATCCACACAGAATCTTTCCATACAAAATATTAGAATTCCATACAAAACATAGAATTCTGCCTCTGGAGTGGGGACAGACTATATTCTCTTAGGTGTTGGTTCGCTATAACTCTGAAGTGGATCTTTACGTTGTGCTGACAGGGAACTGAGGAGTGTAGTACAACTTGCAAAAGCTTTAAAAGCCAGGAATAGAACTCTGGTTCTGTGTGAGTGTTTAGCAAACATTTAGCATCCTTTCATTCAGGGAATACACAGCTGAAACAGTACCACTACCACCTACAAACAGCTTATCATCACAGTCCACCTCTTCAGACGCAGGCCCAACTTACGAGCAGGGTGAATGGCTACTGATGCTACAATTGCTCTCACATGCCCTTCCAAAACTCAGGAAGCAGCAGAGCAGTCAGGAGGGCAGGCCCTGGAGTCACAAAGCTTGGGTCCAATTCCTGCCATTAATAGCTCTGTGAACTCTCTGTGCCGTGATTTCCTCATCTTGAAGAACGGGAAATAACAATCTACTTTGTAAGATTGGCGTGATGAGTGAGTTAACACAGGGAAAGGGCTCAGAACAGTGCTCTGCACAGAGTGAGTGTTCGTCTGTTGGTGATCATCCTCATGTCAGATAAGGGGCCAAATCTAAAGAAATGAAAAACTTCTGAAAGGACACATAGAATCTTGACTCCTGATATTCACTTGTGAGGGTAACTGGGCAAACTGCTTAAACTGAATCCTAGTTTCCTAGGATCACTACTGATAAGGTTGGTGCAAGATTGTTACATATCACAAGTGCCAAGCAAATTCAAGCACTCACTGTGAGTCCTTTCCTTCTTCCTCGTCTTAGATTAGGAAATAATTTGCAAATATCCAATTAGGAGTAGAAGAAACACTACCGGCTGGAGAAAAGGAAGCAGTCTAAGGGACTGGCCTCCTTTGTACTCCTCTCAGTTACATGACTTGGTGATCTGAGACAAATTATCTCACCTCCAAGGGCCCCGTTTCCTGAAGACTTAATTCTACTTGCCAGATAATGGGCATGATGCAAAGGACACATCTGCCCTGCTAAGGCATTACTATGGTTATTACTGGCATTGGAAAATAACTGCCCTCATTCTAACTTTGGCGGCATACTGGGATTAACATTAAGACAGGACCTATGGTTCTTTCAGGGTAAATGGTCCACACTCATGCTTAACAAATCACCCCAAATAGGTTGTTTCCAGCTGTAATTCACTTCCTTCTGGGGCAATAACTTCATCTCCGAATGAAGGGAGTCAGAAAAGGGTCTTCTGGAACTGCCAATACGCACTGCTTGAAGAATTCTTGAGCTTTCTCTGCACTGAGAACTGAGCAGGCCTAACCCTGTCTAGCTGGAGTAACGAGACAGGCTCACTGCCAAAGTTGCTAAGGATTGCAGACGTGCTGCTGGTCCATCCAGACACAGCAGAACTGATTCTCAAACCCTTTGATAAAAGAGTTTTAGAACATCAAACCAGAGGAAAAAAGGCTCAACCTCTATCAACCTGTCAGGTAGCATTTGGCAAAATGGGTAGAGGGGCCGGCCTGGTGGCACAGCGGCTAAATTCACGTGCTCCACTTCGGTGGCCTGGGGTTCACCGGTTCGGATCCCGGGCATGGACCTACACACCACATATCAAGCCATGCTGTGGCAGGCGGCCCACAGATAAAGAAGAGGAAGATGGGCATAGATGTTAGCTCAGGGCCAGTCTTCCTCGGCAAAAAGAGGAGGATTGGCAGCACATGTTAGTTCAGGGTTAATCTTCCTCAAGAGAAAAAAAAAAGTAGACGGGGAGGGGATCTAGAGTCAGCTTTAAATCACAGCTTTGCTACTTAGAAGCTATTTGGACAAAGCACCTGATCTTTTGGCCTGTTTCTCTATCAGTAAAAGGACTGTTGGGAGGGCTACACAATGCATAAAAAGCACATGGCCTCACAGAAAAGCTGAGCACTGTGTATACCTTTATTACAGAACCCACAACATTCCACCCTGATGACAGGGGACGGAGTGTGTACACATCCTGTCCCCCTTCTAGACTGTAAACTCCCTGGGGGCAGGACTTGAGAGACATTACAGCATAGCAGTCAACAGCACAGATAAAACCTGAATTCAAGCTCGGCCCCATCTCTTGCGTTACCTTGGGCAAATTACTGAACTTCTCTGAGCCCTGTCTTTACCCATAAAATGGAAATAACAACACGCACCCCATGGGGTTGTTGACGGGATCACTTGAGATGACACAACTAAGGCTCTTAACACTGTGCCCGGCCCACAGTAAGTGCTCAATAAATGGTAATGATGATTACCTTTCCCATTCCTGTGTCCCTTACACCTGCGAAAGGCATCTAGTCAATAACACCTGTTGGTTCGAAGGTTTATGTAGCTGAAACATTGCCCACCCCGCCCCAGAGAAATTCAGAAATGGCAAAAAGTATCAAGACGCCAAGAAGGGGTCTCCTACCTCTGGAAAATCTCCTGCAGCGTTTCCCGGGTGAAGGCATTGCCGTCCTGGAAGACGTTATTGAGGGCATGCAGGGCACAAAGCTCCCTGCGCTGTTTCTCATGGTAGATTCGGGGGGGTGCCGCCTGGGGCAGCTCCAAGGATTCAGATTTGGCCTTGTCTCCTTTCCATGGCACGCAACTCATGTTTTTCGTTTTAGGTTCCAGAGAGGGCTAAAAAACACCCCACCCTCCCCTCCTGAGGAAGAATGTAAGCTTCTCGGTCTTTTCAGGATTCCTGAGGTCCACCTTATTTTCTAGTGTCCATGATTTATGCTTTGTCACGGGGAGAAAAGGTTGAAACCAAAAGGGGGAAAAAATCCACCTCTTCTCTCTTCTCAATAGAAAAATAACTTTGGGATTAGTGTATTTCGTCACCACTGTCAAAGTGCAGAATTTTTAAAAATCACATAAAACCTAAGACCTTGTTTACCTTCTCCCTTCCCCAAAAACACGGTTTTCTGGTTGTATTTTCCTCTCTGCAAATGCCAACCAGGCCTCAAGGCAGGAGGACCGAACGGAATCGGTCACATCGCTCCTTTTCTTCCATTTCTGTCGAACCACAACGCCACTTACTCAGGAGACCAGGCCTAGGCGGTGATGAAACGCAGAATGCGGGCAGCTAGAGAGGGCCGGCCAGCCGGGGTCGGCGGGCCGTGCGGGGCCCTCGGGGGCGGCTCTCCATCCTCGCGGGCGCGGTGGCCCCGCAGGGCGCGGCTCCCTCGGAGGGCGCGGACTCTCACGCTCTCGCCGCGGCCCTGCGGAGGAGACGACTCCGGTCAGCCCGAGCGGACGGGCGCGCCGCGCGGAGGACCAGGCGGCCGGGGAGGCGGCGCGGCGGGCCCGGCTCCCCCGAGACAGGGTCCTGCGCAGGGACGGGCAGGCCGGCGCGCGGGAGGCGCCGGGACAACTCGCCTGGCCGTCGGGGCCCCAGGCCCACCCGGCTCGCAGCCCCCACCCCAACCTCGCCGCGCGTCACGTGAGTGCAAGACGCGGCGTCCTGCCGCCGCTCCCCCAGCCCCGGCCAGGCCCCCCGCGCCGCCGGGACCGCTCGCGGACGCGCCGCCGGCCGCCCCTCACCGCCGCGCGCCGCCCCCCGGAGCTGCGGGCCGCCTCCTGGGCCGCGCTCGGGCGGGCGGGCGGGCGAGCGCGCGCACCTGAGCCCGACGTCAGCGGCCCTCGCCCAGCGCGTGCTCCGGAAACGCCCTCCTGCGCCGTCCCCGCTCCCGCCCCGCCGTCGCGTCACGTGTGACGTCAGCCCGATGTCAGCTGCGCCGGCTTAGGGGCGGCGGCGGCCGCGGGTCTGTTGGGAGGGTGGGGGCGTCAGCGGGGCATTGGGGGCGCGGCTGCGGAGCCCGGCGGCGGTGGCGGCGCCGGCAGAGCTGGTGCCCAGCTCCTCGGCTCCGTTCCTACCCGGGCGGGGCGGCTGCGAAGAGTCCCGCCTCGACGCCCGCCCCTCCCCTTCCCCGGGCGTCGGCGCCGTTCCGGGGCGGCGAGCGGCCTGCGGCTGCACTTCGCCGCTCTCCCTGCCCCACCCCTGTCTCCGGGCCGGGCTTCTCGAGCCCAGCGCTTTCGAGAACCTGTACTAGCTACTCGTGCGCTGACCGTTTTGTTTGCCTAGCGCGCCGATCACCAGGTCGTTTCAAAGTCCCTTACTGATGCGGTCGGGCGCCAATTCTCTGGGTTAGTGGGCCCGACCCCCCCGCACTCTCCTGGAGCGCTGAGGGTAAGTGCCTCGCCCGGAGTCACATTTCAAGTGGAAGGGAGAGCCCTGTTTCGGATCCTTGGTGTCGAATTCCACTTGACTGCACACAAACCGCTGCGTTCTCGTCCGGCTCCCCCTTGGTCTCACGGTGGCTGCCACGGAGCTTTCCGCTCTGGGTTTTCTCAAGGCGCATTGTGTCAGGAAGGTAAACTCCCAGTCCCGCGGGGATTTTTCCCCCTTAATCTACTCCTAGGGCATGTGGAAGGCATCGCAAATGCTGTCCACCAGAGCTGACCTCCTTCTGGATCTTTGTTCAGATAATTGGAAAAACAATAAAGGAGATCACAGAATTCAGTCATTTCTTTAATGCTGCTTCAACACGGCTCTTTTAACACCAATACATTCAACACAGACTTACCACTTAACACCTTTGAGTTCCTCCCATGTGGTTGGGAGTCCTCTGGCCTGATCCAGACAACTTTTGAATTTCTTAAGTATTTGTAATTTGTAAGCCGTGTGAGGGTTAAATTATATTTGCATAAGATTAGCTAGTGGAGGCTTGCGAGCACTGTTCTAAGTGCTTTATGTATATTAACTGATCTACTGCTAACTATCCTGTGAGGTAGACACTTAAATTTTTAAAGGAGACAGCTGAAGCTCGGAGAGGTTAATTAACTTGCTCAAGGTCAGGTAGCTAGTAAGTAGTGGACCCAGGATTTGAACCTAGGCTCTAACCTGTCTTCAGAAAGAGGATGTAAAGATGGGTAGGGAATTCCCCCTTTAGATTCAATTCAAGAAGATTATTTTTTCTGGGCAAAACCCTATAGTGAGAAGGGCGTATTTTCTAGTCCACCATCAGGTGTCAGCACATTCTGCACTTGATCTCTTTCTGGAAGAGCCAGTTGGTAAGATAGTAAATACCAATTTTTATTCTAGACAACAATGCCTTGATATTTGGCTTTTCTGACAAATCAAGATTTCAATATTTGTAACTACCTCATAGAGAAATATATAGGATAGTGGTGAGGAATCTAGCCAGAAAAAAACCACATTGGAAGAACTGTGAGCAAGACCTTTGGAATTGGATGAATTCTTGTCCCAGATTGCCAGCTGTGCTTGCAGACGTAAAACTTGATTGCAGATAGTTGAAAACAGGAACAAGAGGAGGCTGCCTTTTTCCGTTCAGGTAGATCCCTTAAACTGAAGGCCATTTGGAACCCTGCCCTTTGCTCACTAAATCCTGTGTTCCAAACTCTATAAATCTTGGGTATGTTACCTTCTTAAATGGCTGCTCTTTCTTGCTTGCTGCCTGAGATGAGTGGCCAAAACCAGCACTATAGGAGTTTGGCTAGTCCCTAATTTCATCAAGCTTTTCAGACTTTTTTTTAATAAAGTTTCTTTCTTTTTTTTTTTTTTGAGGAAGATTAACCCTGAGCTAACATCTACTGTCAATCCTCCTCTTTTTGCTGAGGAAGACTGGCCCTGAGCTAACATCCGTGCCCATCTTCCTCTATATGTGGGATGCCTACCACAGCATGGTTTGCCAAGTGGTACCATGTCCACACCGGGGATCCGAACCAGCAAACCCCAGGCCGTGGAAGAGGAATGTGTGAACTTAACTGCTACGCCACTGGGCTGGCCCCCCTTTTTTTTAAAAAAAAAAGATTGGCACCTGAGCTAACATCTGTTGCCAATCTTCTTTTTTTTTTCCTTTTTCCCCAAAGCCCCCCAGTACATAGTTGTATATTCCAATTGTAGGTCCTTCTGATTGTGCTATGAGGGATGCCACCTCAGCATGGCCTGACGAGTGGTGCCGTGTTCACAGTCAGGATCCAAACTGGCGAAACCCCAGGCTGCTGAAGCAGAGCGCACAAACTTAACCTCTCAGCCACGGGGACTGCCCCAACTTTTCAGACATTTGAAACAGAAATTCAAGACACTAAACTGTGTGTTGGCTTGGGGCTTTCTACAACTGATGAAGTTCTGGAAGAATCATCCATAGAAAACTACCTTAAAAGACCCTGGATCTCAGCTTCACAGTTCTGTAAAGAACAAAAATTCAACCTAGTAAATATAAAGATCTAATTAGCTTTATTAAGCTATTCATGAATAGGGCACCATCCCATTCAGCAAATACATAGGCGCTCCAATGAATTGTACAAAATGTAAGGTTTTTGGGGTGGGGAAGGGATGAAGATTGGCCCTGAGCCAACATATGTTGCCAATCTTCCTCTTTTTGCTTGAGGAAGATTCGCCCTGAACTAACATCTGTACTAATCCTCCTCTGTTTTGTATGTGGGGCTCAGCCACAGCCTGGCTTCATAAGCAGTGTGTAGGTTTGCTCCAGGAATCCGAACCCATGAACCCCGGGTGACAGAGCAGAGTGTGGGAACTTAACCACTACCGCTGGGCCAGTCCCAATGCAAGGTTTTTATAGGCAGAAAGAGGATAGGACAAAGAAGTTAAAAGAGCAGAGTATTTCAGACAAGATCACTTTCCCTTAGGGGAAGGCAGGGGGTCTTAGGCAGATTACCTCACTACTAGTGTTGATCAGGAAATTCCAGACTTAATGGTTGCACTCCTGGGAGAAGCTGAAACTGCAATTAGGTGAGGCATTAAGTCTTGGGGCTTAGCCTAAGTGACTCCATTTTGGGCCTGCTGTTTCTTTTTAAGAGTTTATAAAGGAGGGGAGGCTCTTCTGGTTTCTATTTTAGCAGGTTGCCTCTTTTTTTGTTCGTGTAATTGCTCTCTCCGCAGAGGCAGTGAGTGGAGAATTCTCCCCAAGGTCAGCGTTTAATTAATTGCCTCGCTCTGGCTGCTATAGTATTCCAGGCATCGATCCTACTACCAAAACTGCCTGGAGGTTGCCAGCACATCGAACCTCTGTCTCCCAGTGACTGCCCCATCGCTGAATTGAGTGGGAGGCGCCTTGTGCAGTTTACTATCTCCGTGGGCGGTGGCGCGAGGCGCGGGACCTATCCGATGACTGGATTGGGCCTTATCCCTGTCCATCATCGGAGGGCTCTAGGCGCCCACTGTTTTGCAGGACGATTTGGAAGCTGAGCACCGCCTCTGGAAGTCGGAGAGTGAGGGGCGGTGAGGACAAACGTCACGTGTGTTTCTCTCCTCATTGGATGACTGCTGTGTCAGTCATACTCTGCTCTGCTCCGGTTGGCGGGAAGGCTCTAGGCGGGTAGCGTGGCCGCGGTGCTGCCCCCTCCCGAGCCGCGATCCAAGCGCGCGCGTGACGTCTCAGGTATTTGTTGTTGGGGTTTGGGCCTTATTAGTTATTCATTAGGTACTTGAAAGGGCTGCAGCGATTGGTGGCTGAGAGGTCGGGTCGATTGTTTCTTAGCCAGAGATACATGTCAACCTCAACGCGGTTGGAGAAGCTTCGCATAAATTATTCCGATAAGGTGTGGGGCGGGGCCACACATATATTATGCAAATAAGGCGGGAGGGAGGGGCGGCCGGCTACGAATTAGCCTAAGTTATTAAAGATGGCGGCGGAGCGGAGTCGCTCCCCGATGGACTCGCCGGTCCCGGCCTCGATGTTCGCCCCCGAGCCCAGCTCCCCGGGGGCGGCCCGGGCCGCGGCGGCCGCCGCCCGGCTACACGGCGGCTTCGACTCGGACTGCAGCGAGGACGGCGAAGCGCTCAACGGCGAGCCGGAGCTGGACCTCACCAGTAAGGTAGGCCCGGGCGCCGGCGGCGGCGCCGAGGGACGCGGCGCCGAGCGGAGGGGGAGGGCGGCCGGCCGGCTCCGGGGGACGGCGGGGACGGGGATGAGCTGCCCACTGCCGGGGCGGGCCGCGAAGGGGGGCTCCCGGGCGACGGGCGGCCGCCGCACCGCGTCCTCCCCCGGCGGCGCCGATCCGGCCGCCCGCCCCCCGCCGGCCGGCTCCCGCCGAGATCCCAGCCCTCGGCTCCGCCACGTGGAACAGGGGCCCCGACGCCGGCGGCGCCGCCTGCCCCGAGCCCGAGCGTGGCCCTCTCCCCGGACTATCCCCTGCAGGCGGCCGAGCGTCGGAGGAGGCTCGGGCAGGGGGCGCGCAGGCGGGAGGGTCAGGTAGTCCGAGGGGGCGCGGGGCAGCCGCGTCCCTCCTGGTGTCGGGAAGGGAAACAGCAAGTCGTCGCTCCGTCTGGGAGAAGGCTGTCTGAGGAATGTCTGGGGATTTACAAATCCACCCAAAACAGAAGTGGAAGGTGGCATGACCCATAATCTCGCCATCCTGGGGGCGGAGCCTCGTCTCGTATGAATGGAATAAAAACGTTTTAAATCGTGTCTTCTGAGAAGGTAGGCAGGAATTAAAGGCTCGCCTTCTGGTTGCCGTTTTGGGGATAAAAAAAGTAAATATAAGATGTGACGTGTTTTGAAGGCGCTTAACGTTGCTAAAGGAAAGTTAGAGCTCGGTTCCCTTTCCTGTCCTGCCACTTAAAAAGGCTCTGTGACCTTGGAAAAGTTTCCTAACCTCTCAGTTCTCCAGCTACATCATTTTTTAAATGCCGATGCCTGTTAAAATGAGAATCGTATGTAAGACACCTACTATAGTGCCTGATACAGACTACTCAGTAAATGTTTGATGTGAATCGAATAAACTGGTAATTCCCTTTGCAGGTTAAATAGCAGCAGATGGAAGAGAGAACCCCAGTGCCGCCTCCCACTTGTTGTTGGAATAGTTACAATAGAGATATTTAACAAGCTTTGAAAACGTTTGTGACTTTTCACAGTCTTTGGTGGCAAAATTGCATGAAACTTGGCCCAAACTTGGGAGGACTTTCCCTGCGACCTAAGCAGCCACGTTTCAGCCGCTCTCTCTCCCTCCAGTCTCAGCTGAGCACTGAGAAGCCACACTGGGCTTATCACAGTGGTCCTATCTGGTGCTTCTCATGTCGTAATGAGCACAGCCGAGCTTGGAGAGGGACAGTCTGGGGAAGTGTGTGAGGCAGTGTGACATGCTGCTGAAGACCCACACAGCACCCAGGTTATAAGTACAGGCTCTGATGAGTCAACTCAGGAAATTTTACAAGATGCGCTTGACTCAAAAGCAGACCAGGTGGATGTCAGTTCATGGTCAAGCTGCTGAAGAAATCTGAAAACTCAGGGAAATTGCAGGGCAGAGTTGCAAAGACAGTAGTATCTTCATTTCCTGACCAGCTTCTTTAGTGTCCTAGGATAGGGAAGTGTTACTTCATCACATGGCCCACGGAGTCGTCCTCACTGTTTAAAGCTGAGAAGCTGTATGAGAATAAACATCGATGATACTGAAGAGAAAAACTGACTATGCGGAGGGAGAGAAGGGATGGGTTGAACAGATTGATTCCTGAGGCAAAGATTAGAAGCTGCAAGTTTATCCACTTGCTACACGAAATGTGGGGACCTCAGGGTCTGTCCGAGAGCTTCCGATGGGAGGATCAATTAGTGAGCTGTGGTGGCGAGTTTCATCCAAGGTCTTTTTAGCAATGATTGGGTGAAGAAACTGTAATTGCCACTTACTGAGCTGTGGACTAGATGCTTTCCATGTTATCTTATTCTGTCTTTACAGCGGCCTGAGGATGCAGGTTGTATTTTATGGATTAAAAAACTGAGACTTGAAGAGGTTAGGCATCTTGTCCAAGGTCACATGTGAGTGGTTAGAGAATGGGATCTGACAATGCCTGTTGGTAAATGGCCTCCCCAAATAAGTGTTGCTATTTTAATGTTATTGGCAGAAATTTGCAAAATAATGGTGCTCATCCCCATCTTAGTGGTCATGGTGTTTTGTTGAAGATGAGTCTTGCAGCAGTTTTTACTGCCGATTCTTAAATAATTAAGATCGTACAGGCAAGGTGGAACATATTTCTTTCGTTATTGTGGGAACCGTTGGCTTTGGGTGGAGGACATGGCAGTTATGAGATCTCCGTCCTGTGAATTGCAAGCTGCAGGTGGAAGCCTTTGGCATGTAGGTGTGAAGCACTGCTCATCGGTTTCTGCCCACAATGCCAAATTCCAATCATTGTGGGTCCTGCCCCTCCTGTTAAGCAGCAGGAAGCAGGCTGTTCACACCCTCTTTTCTGTGGGTTGTGGTTCAGACGTACTTGTTTAGTACATTGTTTAAGGCTTTAGGCTCAAAGGCTGTTTAAGGAGAGGCAGAGAGGGCATAAGGGGGCTGTGTAGCTATTTTAGACTAGGGTGCGATGGGGTTCAGTCAGGATCTTTGGTCAGGCTGTTGGTCTGCTTTGGCTGTGGTGCTCTTCTAGTAAGTGTGGTCCTAAGGCTGTTGGTTTCTCTTCTAGCTGGTTCTAGTGAGCCCTACATCAGAGCAGTATGACAGCCTCCTTCGGCAGATGTGGGAGAGGATGGACGAGGGATGCGGAGAGACCATATATGTCATTGGGCAGGGATCAGGTGAGCATAGTTTTCCTTTCACTTTATTTTTAAAAAATTATTTAGAGCACATTTTCCCTCTTTTATCAACTTTCCCTGTTCCTGTGTCTCAGTCGCAGTGATTCTTTAGCGTCTGCAGAACTGTTTGGGAGGACGTAAAAGTACAAAGTGAGAATGTCAGTTCCCACCTTAGTGTCATAATGTGCCTGACTTTAAGGGTTCGCTTTCCAAGCGGCTTTACAGATGCTTCTTTTCTCCCTCCAGTACTCTCCATTTGCATAAAGGGAAATGAAAGACAGAGCAAGGAGCCTTCTTGTCCAAGGTGACAGAGCAGGTCACAGTCAGGTCTAGAATTAGGCGGTCTCTGGGCAGCTCTAGGCCCCCCTCTCCAAGCCGGCTTTACACATCGTTGCTACTTACTGTCCGTTTAGCAGAGAACCTCTATGATTCTCGGTGTCAGCAAGAAAAGAACACTCAGAATTCCTCTCTTCAGCAAGGCTGCCTCGCCCCGGACCACACTGACCAGTGTGAGTAGCAGTGATAACAGAGGTCCTCCTTTCTCCCTGTGAGATTCCGTCAGACATGGAGCCTTGTTACCGTTCTGGAAGGGACTTGTTATTGTCCTCCAACCCGCTTATTCCATTGTAGTGGAGCCCCCTCTTTTAGAGGAAGCCAGCCCCCGTGACAGAATCCCAGATTACATCCTGAGCTTTTTTTATCTGGTTGTTCCTAGTTTATACCTTCAATATAAAGCCTCCTTACCTTCATCTTCATTATGACATTATCTTTGCTGAAATGGCAGCTGGGCTTGTTAACGATTATGAATTTAGCCTGTACCAGAACTTGCCTCTGTTGTCTTTGCAGGAAGACCCAATAGGCATCAATACATCATTAAAGAAACAGTTCTCTTCGCTGAATGTAGGCTTTGTAAAGGCAGGTAATAATTCTTTTGCAGTCTGAGTTTAAGATGGAGGAAATCTCAAAATCGTTCTTTAACTCTTCGACACATATCTATTAAGTATCTTCTAAGGACTTGATACTGTTGCAAAGCACTTTTGGATACTTAAAATCTGGTCTCTGTCCCAGGGAAGAAAGATGGCTTATACACAGATAACCTCAGTAGAGAACAGTGTTTGGAAATGCTGCAAGAGTACACAAGGAAGAAGGGTTTCATCTCCAAATGCTGCTGTCCCCTGCTTTGAAATGTCTCTCATATCTGTCCGTTCCTTTCCATCTTTGCTGCTCCCTCCCCAGTTTCAGGTCTTATCAACTTAAAGAAGGCATGGTCAGAGAGATAGGCAAACCAAGAGGTTGCATGTCAGGAAAGGGAAGGAGTTGGTCAGCATTGTCAAATGCTACAGAGACAGCAAGGAGAGAGTCAGGTTTAGAATAAGCCATTCTTTTTAGTGACTAGGGCATCATTGGTAGCCTTTTGGAAGCTTTTGTTCAGGTGCACATCTGGCCTGCTGTCGTAAGATGAACCAGTCAAAGGTCACCTCATGCTTGTAGAACCACATCTAGATCAGTTTTGATGAGTGTTAGGACTGTGCCTTGAAGATCCAGATTCTTAAGACTCCCTTCTCCCCCTTTATGCTTTAATGTGGACTCTTAGTGAATTTTGTCACGCCTTGGCAACTCACAACTAATTAACCCTTCCATGGCAACGCGTAGGAAGACATCAGACATTCATTAACGCATCTACACACCCAGGCATTATCTTTGCGTCTCCCTATTAGGTACCATTAGATTCATAGTGACTCCTTCCTGCAGGAAGTCATCTGTAAGGAATTCTTTAGAGGTGGAGAGAGATCGTAACTAGTTAAACAAATTGAACGTCAAACAGGACTAAACCAGATGCAAGGCCCCCAGGGATCAGCTTCATCACTGACTTCTGGGTGTGCTTGGTGCTTCACCTCTGTTTATTGCTTCCATCCTCTGTAAAATGGGCATAATGACATCCTTCCCCATCCTACCTCAGAGACATTTTGTCTGGGTAAATTAGATACGAAAAAATTCTAAGCAGTGCAGAGGAATGTGCTCTTTAAGTATACATTCTTAATTTGAGATTAATGTTGTAAAAGAAGGCAATATGGCCTAGTAGTTCAGGATCTGGAGCGTGATAGGTCTGAGTTTGCCTACTGGCTCTTTTCCTTGTCTTAAAATGGGGATAGTAAGAGCATCCATCCCATGGTGTCGTGGTACACACTATATAAATGTTAGCCGGTATTAGTGGTTGCAGTAGTAATTTTTTAAAAATTTTTATTGAGCTTATGATAGTTTACAACCTTGTGAAATTTCAGTTGTACATTATCGTTTGTCAGTCTTGTTGTAGGTGCTGCATTAGTAATTTTTTAAGGGATCCAGGTTATGGTTGATTTACCATGAGATTTCTTTCAAAAAGAACCTTGCTCATTCCTCAAATACTAAGTCATGACTTTCTAAGAGCCAAGTGCTGTGTTAAAGTTCAGGGAACATAGGAGGAGTGTTAAGTTGTGTGGAGAGTCAGGGAGGGCTTCAAAGCCTTTCCAAGGGAGGAGGTGCTGCTTGAATTACATTTAAAAGATGAGTAGGAGTTTTCCAGGTAAATGAGGCAGTCGTGAGTGAGAAGAGAAAGCCGCATGCACAAAGGCACAGAGGCGTTGGTGATTGTGGAGTATTTGGTGGACTGGAAGGGATTCAGTAAAATGGGAGTATAGAGTGTGAGCCTGGGAGTGTCGGGAGGGGAGGCTGGACAGGTAGGCAGGGCCCAGATCTTGAGGCTCTTTGAATGCCGTGCCAAAGAGTTTAGACTTTTATCCTAAAAGTGTGGGGAGCCTTTGCAGTGCGTCGAGCAGGAGCGTGCATACAGGAAAGGCAAGTCAGGTGGCGGGACGGAGATCTGTCTGATTAGGTTCCTGCGCAGCTGAACGTGTGGACTTTAGTGATTGGACCTCCTTGGTCTTGTTTCCACTCTGACAGCGTGAGGAATGCATTGCATGCTGGAGACGGGTAATGTGACTGGGGCATTTTCTGGAAGCCCTCGATGGATTCGGTGACAGTGGTGATTGCCCCTGGTGCGGAACAGGACGTAAAAGCATTGCTTTTCGTTGTACCAGAAGCGGGAAAGGTTGGATAGAATTTGGGGGTCTGGCAAGAATGGCGGGGTTAGCAGGCTTTCTCTTAGGAACACTTCCCACAAGCCCTTCTCTAACCCAGAAGATTTCCAGAGCTCAGTTGGCCATGAGTTTAGAAGCTCCTCAGCCCAACTGCTCCCACTTTGTTCATTTGTTTTGCATTTTACAGACATTTGAGGACTTGACATAGGAAAGGCACCCCTTGTGGGCCATCCAGGAAATGTTTGCGATATGGTCCCTGTCCTCAAGATGCTTATGTATAGTGGAGGAAGGTGTGCATCCAAAACACTATTCCACAAGGTGTGCTGTGTGGTAAATGACATAGGGGAGCAGAGTGGGGATGGTTTTGACAGGTGGAGATGCACTGATGGGTTTTCTAGGATGAGAAATACATGAGCAAAGATGTAGAGCTGGAAAAGTGCAGAGAACATGGGATGGTGACTGGGCCACTTGCACTGGGACAAAACTTAGAAGGGGGGAAGGAGGAGGGGGTTTGGAATAAATGGGGGTGGCCTTTAAGGAATTGGAACTGAATGTTGCTGGGCCTGCGGAGCCCTTCCAAGGCTTTGACTCGGAAGTGACGACGTCAGAGCTATGCTTTGTTTAGGAGCTTAAACTTGTGTGTCTATGCAGGATGGCCAGGAGGGAGTAGAAACTGGATTTGCTAAGACCAGTTAGGGGTCTGTCTTGGTGATTCAGGTAGAATAAGGGCCTGAATCAGGCTGGTGGCGTTGGATTGGCAAAAAGAGCAGGGACAAGGAAAGAAGGGCGAGATATACAGCTAGAGTCAGCAGGACTGGAGTGATGAGTGTTAAGCTTGGGTGACTGGAGGGATGATGTTGTCATTACAAATAAGGAAGGTAAGAGGAAGAACTGGTCTGGCTTTAAGAGGAGCCCTTACCAGAGGAAAAAGCTCTCGGTTTAGAATCAGAAGACCAAGCTCACAGAGCCCCTCTGCTCCCGACCAGCTCTGAGACCTCTTAAATGGGAACAGTAATGCCTACCTCGTAGGGTTGCAGTTAGGGCTAAAATGCTTTATTAATGGTGTTAGTTTTTGTGCTGTTGTTTAAAAAGCGGGTGAGGTGGTTGAGTTTGGACATTGGGCTTCTAGGAGTTGTCCCGCAAGCAATTGGAAATTCAGTGTAGAGCTCTGGGAAGAGGACAGTGCTAGAAATGAATGCTTTTGTAGTTTTCAAAATGACAGTTGAAGCCATAGAATGAGGTGGCCAAGGGGAGTGCTTAGAGAACAGGAGAGAGGGCCACCGACTGACTAGTTGAAGAGACTGGCATTTAAGGGACAGGAGCAGGAAGACCTAGCAGAGGAGAGCGAGGAGGAACCAGAGGGCGGGGGGTGAATCAGGAGGGTTCAGGCAGTAGGCAAGCGGGGTGGGAGGGTAGTCATTCAAGAAGCAAAGGGATGGTGGCCAGCAGTGTGGGGTACCGTAAGGGTCAAGAAAAGGGCATTGGATGAGTGGTTAGAAGGCCATTGATGACTTGAAAGCTGGTTTCTTCCACAGTCGTCAGATCAGAGTGAGTAGGTGGGGAGGAAATACAGCCAACAAGTGTCGCTTACTTTTGAGATGCTTAGAGGAGATGGTGGCTCGGTAGATAAGCAGAAGCAAGGGAAGAGGGGGGTGGGTTTCCTTTTCGTAGTTTCAGAATGACTTGAGTTTGTTTGGAAGGGGAGAAATGGAGGCGGGTGAGAGAAGGTGCTGCTAGGTCTTTGGAGGGGTTAAAGGAGAAGAGTTTGGGCAGCCTCTGGGGGAGGATCCTAGGGAAGGAGCAGGGGTGCTCTCGGAGATGGAGCAGCTGGAGGAAAAGCTGGGGGAGTTATTGTAGGAATTAAATCCGACACCACGGGGAAGGCACCTGATGGGATTATTGTACAGTAGGCGCTCAATAAATGATTGCTTGGCTGGTCTGCCCTTCTGCTTGACTCACTTCCTCATCCTGAGCTCAGACTCGTTTTTCCAGCCACGTGCTGGACATTTCACCTGAGCCACCTCAGTTAAAAATCTATCCCTAAAATCATTTTTAAATTCTCTCCCCATTTTACTTTGTCTCCTGTCCTCATTATCTTTTACCTGGATTATTAGAATTACTTCCTAGCTGTGCTCCCTTTTCTGGTCTTTCGCTTGCCAGTGCGTACTTTCTGTTGCTGTCCAAGAGATCTTTCTAACCCACAGCAATCTGATCATGTTACTCCCCTGTGGAACCCCCAAGGCTTCCCACTGCCCAGTACATAATGTGATTTGCTGCTGTCTGTCTGTCTGCTTAACCACTTCCACATCTCGTGGTCTCCCATCGCTTGATAGCCTGCTCCCCGACACACCTAGCTGCTTACTGGTCCCTGAATGCGCCATGTTCTGCCATGTTCCCTGCTTTGCTCCTCTGCTAGATGTCTTTCCTCCTTTCTCTGTGGGCCCGTTCTTCACGCTTGGAGACCCAGCTTGGAGTGAGCGCCCTGCAAATTGTCCTCAGCCTCCCCAGGCAATGCTAGCTGCTTCCGCTTATGTTCTCTTTGTGTGACTCTGTAGTTAGGCACTCAAGCTGTATTGCAATTAATTAATTTCCTGTCTGTTTCTCCTGCTGGGCTGTGAGCTTGCTAAGTGTACCTTTATTCCCAGTACCCAGCATGAGGCTTAGCATAAAACCTGAGAGAGTCTCAGTGATTACTGTTGAATGAATTAATGAATGCCCTGCTTGATGGGGAAGCCCATGCCCTATTGTTTGTTAACTCTCTGTGTGCCCAAGTTTTTGACCTGTCAGGTAGAGAGAGCCATTTTTTCCTCCGGTGTCCTGGGTGTGGCCTTCATTAGGGATGGTTGACTGGCTGGCTTGTTGGCAGGCTGATGTCTGGGCTCTTGTCACCAGATGGGACTGAGTACGGGCTGAGTGAAGCTGACATGGAGGCCTCCTATGCCACAGTGAAGAGCATGGCTGAACAGATTGAGGCCGATGTCATCCTCCTGCGGGAACGTCAAGAAGCTGGGGGCCGTGTGCGTGATTACCTGGTCCGGAAACGAGTAGGAGACAATGACTTCCTGGAGGTCAGGTGAGGAGGGCTCAGAACCGTTCAGGGGTCCCCTGCAGCATGACCTTGGGGTCTGGGGCTTCACAGAGAATGGTGATTGAGCCTTTGACACCTGGTATGTCAGCTTCACCCCTTCCCTTCCTAAGGCATGGAAATAGTATCCAGAGATATGACAGCTCCATTCTTTATTTCTGCACGTCCCCATCCCTAAATATTTCCGTTTGGGAAGAGTGGGAGGGAGGCCAGCCATACATTCTGTGAGCTGCATTTGCTTTCCCATCAGCCAGTAAGGCTAAAAACCAGGGTAACGGAGGAGAGCGTTTTGTGCCTCTCTTGGCTTTGGGGCTCCTGTCTGGCAGCTTTGGGGAAGCTAGTGGAAGTTAAGGAAGAAAGCCACTGTGGTGGGAACCTAGTTCCTCCTGAACAACTGTTCAACTCCCTGGATACAGCTCCAGGAACATTCCCAACGTGCTCATCCATGAACGGGAGGAGCAGTGAGCCGGAGAGGCTCAGGGGCGGGCCTGTCCTTACAGATCCGCTTACTGGGGTTTGCTCACCCACCCACCAACTCTCACACGGATGTATGGGTTCCTCTACATGCAGGGTAGCAGTAGTGGGCAACGTGGATGCCGGCAAAAGCACGCTTCTGGGGGTCCTGACACACGGGGAGCTGGACAATGGCCGAGGCTTTGCCCGCCAGAAACTCTTCCGCCACAAGCATGAAATTGAATCTGGTCGCACCAGCAGTGTGGGCAACGACATTCTGGGCTTTGACAGCGAAGGCAATGTGGTGAACAAGCCAGACAGCCACGGTGGCAGCCTGGAGTGGACAAAGATTTGTGAGAAATCCACTAAGGTGATTACTTTCATCGACTTGGCTGGCCATGAGAAGTATCTGAAGACCACTGTCTTTGGCATGACGGGCCATTTGCCCGACTTCTGCATGCTCATGGTGAGTATGAGGCGCCCCTGAGAAGGAGGCTTAGGCTGGGCTCTTGGGAGTGTGGTGACATGCAAGTGTGTGAAATTGTTCTGAGACACAGGCCTGTTGTTTTGGGCTTTGACACTGGGTAAGGATGACAGGTTTTGCAGGGGCGCCCAGGCCTCTGAGTGTTACATTTACAGTCTTCTCAAGGTTAGGCCAGGAAGGGATCCTCTAAATAAAAGCCAAGATGCCACTGGCAGACTTCGCTTACTGTTCAGAGAAGCGTAGAGGAGGGTTTCTCCTGCGGCTTACTACCTTCAGAAATGTTTTCTCCTGGGTTTGGGCTACTCTGAGGAGATGATAGCACCAGGTGGCACCCTCAGAGATGGGGAGGGCTGGGGAAGACCTGGAGGAGAGCACAGACAGTAATCACGAGGGGCCTGAGAGTGTCAACCAGTCCCAGGTACTCACTCAGAGGCTCCTGCATGTCTGGCACTGTGAGGACACGGCAGTGAACTGGGGCCGTCTCGGCTCCCACTGAGCTTACAGTCTAGTGGGAACAGATTTTATTTTTTTCCTTTTTCTCCCCAAAGCCCCCCGGTACATAGTTGTATATTCTTAGTTGTGGGTCCTTCTAGTTGTGGCATGTGAGACGCCGCCTCAGTGTGGTTTGATGAGCAGTGCCATATCCGCGCCCAGGATTCGAACCGACGAAACCCTGGGCCGCCTGCAGCGGAGCACGCAAACTTAACCACCCGGCTATGGGGCCAGCCCCTAGTGGGAACAGATTTTTAAGCAGCTCATCGTGTTGATGAACTGAAAAGAAAGGGGAGTAGAGGTTCTGCATCGGATCTTGTTGGTAAGCTTGCATTTGGGTCCCTTTGATCTTCCTCCCTGGATGGATGGTGGAGTCCTAGAGGCCCTCACCCTTGGTCACAACTGCACAGCTTTCACGGAGAGCGAGCAAGTGAACACGTTTTCCTTTGGCAAGTCCTTCTCAAAGCCCTTCTCCATTTCCCAGTCCCTCCAGCTGTCTGTATTAATAAGTGTAGTAAACACAAGCATCTGTTCAGAGCAGACTTGATCAAGTTGCCCCACAAACACAGGTTCTCAGGCAAATTCTCCCCAAACTGGAGAGTAAAGAGAGGCAAAACATATGTATCAACACTCTTGTTAGCTCTCTGCCCAAGGTTCTTGGGATCTCAGCATGGTTTCATCTCCCATATCTTCGAGCATTGCAAAGGGCCACTGCTGACCTTGACTGGGCTCAGGAAAGCTGCTCTCCAAGAAGGGGTGTCAGTGGAAGGTCCATGGGCATATTTGGGGGATTTGTTGGGTTGATATTAAGAAGGATATAGAAACCAGTTTAAAATGAGCATTTTTCTAACTGAGCTACAGTGAGCAAGGACAGTTAATGGAAATATCTGTACTCCAGAGGAAATATTATGTATTATCTGACTTTTAGGCCATGATCCAAATATTAAAAATTTCTGTAGAAAACAAAAACAAAGAAATATTTCGTTATTGTTCCATGGCAATCAATTTCTAGGGAAAAAAGTCTTTAAAATGTATAGACAACAAAGCAATAGAGCTCTGTCTCATCCAGGTTGGGAAAAATAAAAGCAAACCAAAGCTGGGTAGGAGGGTGGCTGGAGGGAAGGGAGAGAGGTAGGGGGAGGGAGTGGAGGTATCTCGGTGCAGGCAAAAGGGAGCACAGGCCTGGAACAGCTGTGTCAGAGGGCTGGCGGCTCACCTGTGGCCCGAGGATCAAATGAGAGCATCCCTTGAAAACACTCTGGAATGTATAAAGCACTTTGTAAATATGTCATGGCAATTTTAATTTTAATTTTCTTCTGTTTTAGTAAGTAGCACATTCATATGGTACAAAAATAAAAAGGTACCCAAGAGCCCATGGTGAAAAGTCTCCTTTCCTCCTCTGTCCATTTTCCTCCCAGAGGCAACCAGTATTTTCAGTTTCTTATGTATCCTCCAGAGATATTTTGTAGTCATGCCAGTAAAAGTATATATATTCTCTCCCTTCAATTTCAAACGTTCAGAGAAGTTGAAAGAATAGTACACACCCACCGCTCGGATTCAGCCGTCATTAGCATTTTGCCATGTTCATCTGTGTGTATGATGGATGCCTATGTGTATCATTTTTTCCTTGGTTTTTTGGCTGAGTCATTTGAAAGTGGATTGTTGACATTGTGACTCTTCACCCCTAAAAACTTTAGCACACTCCTAAAAGTAGAAACTGTCTCCTACTGTGATTGCAACCAGGAAGATGCACACGAGTGCCCTAATACCATCCAATATCTAGTCTGTTCATGTTTATATTCTGTCAGATGTCCCCACATGTCTTACAGATGCTTTCTTTCAAACAATGATCCAGTCACCACTCTTTATGGTAGCATGCTTTATGTACTTTGCTTTTTTTCCTTAAAAATATATCTTAGAGATTATCCTATATCAGTAGATAAGAGTTTCCTCTTTCTTTTATATGACACACTTGTGCATGTGCTGTCATTTATTTAACCAGCCTTGATGGTGATATTTAAAAACATTTACAGGCGTGCGCCACGTAATGACGTTTCAGTCAATGACAGACCATGTATATGACAGTGATCCCATAAGTTGTAATGGATCTGAAAAAGTCCTGTCACCTGGTGACATCATAGCCATCATAGAGTCGTAGTGCAACACATTACTCACATGTTTGTGGCAGTGCTGGTGCAAACAAATGTTCTGCGCTACCAGTCATGTAAAAGTGTAGGCATGCCGTTATGATACTTGGTAATGATAACGAATGACTATGTTATTGGTTTATGTATTTACTATTCTATACTTTTTATTGTGATTTTAGAGTGTATTCTTTCTACTTATAAAAAAGTTTACTGTAAAAGAGTATGCCATGTTACACTGGCAGCAGCCTCATACGTCTCATGTTTACCACATCTCTAGATTGCATTGTTTTCTCTTGCTTTATTTAATCTCATGTTGTTTTGTTCATCACAGCCCCTAAGCATACAAAATGCACTGCCAACGTTGCCAGTGAGGTCATGTCGAGTGATTGATCTGGAAACAAAAATAAAAGTGATTAAGGACTACAAAGGTGGAAAATCAGTGATGGTTATTGCTCGCCAGTGAGGCATGTCCCCTTCCACCATAGCTATGATCTTGAAGAACAAAGTGACAGAAGCTGTTAAAGGATCTGCTTGATTGAAGGCAACGAGACTAACAAAAATTTGGGAAGGGCCTATATCAGACATGGAGGAACTTCTAATAACCTGGATTGAAGACCAGACCCAGAAGCATCTCCCTTCCTGCACTGTGACCGTCTGGCCAAAGTAAAAAGCTTGTTTGCAATGTTGAAAGAAAAGGGTGGACCTGGCTGTGGTGTTGAATTTACTGCTAGCTCTGGGTGGTTTAAACGATTCAAGAATCATTATTCATTACATAATGTGAAAGTGAGGAGTGAGTCTGCAAGTGCTGATATGAAGGCAGCTAAGGAATTTTTGGGAATTCTAGATAAGCCGGTTGTGGAGGAAGATTACTTGCCAGAGCAAATATGGTTCAATATGGTTGCGACCTCCCTATTTTGGAAAGATTGCTTGAAAGGACTTTCATCCCTAAGGAGGCCAAGTCAGTGCCATGTTTCAGGTTTTAGGGACAAGATAACAGTCTTGCTTGGGGGGGAATGTTGCAGGCTACACGTTGAAGCCCTTTGTGATCTGGCACAGTGAGAACTCCAGCACTTTCAAGCATATCAATAAGCACACACTTCCAGTGCACTACAGGAGCAATAAGAAGTCATGGATGACCCAGCTCCTCTTCCGGGATGCCCTCCTGAATTGCTATGCCAGCGAAATGGAGCAGTACTGATTGGAGAATAACATACCTTTCAAGATTTTGCTTATTGTTAGTAATGCTCCCAGACATCCTCCTTTTATTGGTGATCTTCATCCCAATATCAGAGTGGTGTTTCTGCCTCCAAACACCACCTCTTTGATCCAACCAATGGATCAAGGGGAGTGATAGCAGTTTTAAGGCCTACCACCTGAGGATGACCTTTGCCTAGGTTATTGCTGTAACTGAGGATGACACTGATGCAATTCTGGAAACATTACAACATCTATGATTGCATCAAGAACTTTGCTTGGGGGACCAGCTCCATGGCCAAGTGATTAAGTTCACTCACTCTGCTTCGGCGGCCCAAGGTTTCGCTGGTTCATATCCTGGGTACGGACATGGTACCGCTCATCAGGCCACGCTGAGGCGGCATCCCACATGCCACAACTAGAAGTACCCACAACTAAAATATACAACTATGTACTGGGGGGCTTTGGGGAGAAAAAGGGGAAAAAAAATAAAATAAAATCTTTAAAAGAACTTTGCTTGAGCTTGGGGTAATGTTACCAAGGAGTATATGAGTGGCTTCTGGAAGAAGACACTCAAGAGGTGTGTCCATGACTTCAAAGGGTTTACCAAGGATGAAGAGGTTGCAAAAACCAACAAGGCTGTGGTGGAGATGGCAAACAACTTTACCTGGGGTGTGCATGGGGATGACATCGAGGAGCTCCTAGAGGTGGCTCCTGAGGAACTGACTACTGGGGAGTTGTTGGAAGTGGAACAGGAACGCAGAGCTGAAGAAGAGGCAAGAGAAAGGAAACTGCAGGGGAAGAAAAAGAAGAAGAACCCCCAAGAACATTCACAGCGAAGGGTTAGCAGGAGCTTCTGCAGACCTCAGCAAGCTCCTTAAGAAGTTTGAAAATATGGACCACAACATTGACAGGTTTTTATTAATAGAGGAGAATGTTCATGGTACGTTATCTGCTTACAAGCAAATCTATGATGAAAAAAAGAAGCAAACAAGGAAGCCACCGTGGACATATTTCTGAAAAGAGTGACACCTCCTCAGGAAGAGCCTCAGGCAGGTCCTTCAGGAGGTGTTCCGGAAGAAGGCGTTGTTATCACAGGAGACGACAGCTCCGTGTGTGTTAGTGCCCCTGAGGACCTTCCAGTGGGACAAGGTGTGGAGGTGGAAGACAGTGATATTGATGATCCTGACCCTGTGTGGGCCTAGGCTAATGTGTATGTTTCTGTCCTAGTTTTTAACAGAAAAGTTTAAAAAGTAAAAGATTTTAAATTTTAAAAATAGAAAAAAGCTTATAGAATAAGGATATAAAGAAAAAATATTTCTGTATAGCTGTACAACGTGTTTGTGTTTTAAGGGTTAGGGTTAGGGTTAGAAGAAGAAGAGTCAAAAAGTTACGGAAGAGTCAAAAAGTTAAAAAAATTAAAAAGTTTATAAAGTAAAAAAGTGACAGTAAGCTAAGGTTAATTTATTATTGAAGGAAGGAAAGCATTTTTAGTAAATGTAGCGTAGCCTGAGTGTACAGTGTTGATAACGTCTACGGTCGTGTCCGGCAGTGCCCCAGCCTTCACGTTCACTCGCCACTCTCACTGACGCCCCAGGGCACCTTCCAGGCCTGCAGCTCCCTCCGTGGTCAGTGCCCCGTACGGGTGCGCCATTTTATCTTTTGTGCTGTATTTGTTCTGAATCTCTTCGATGTTTAGATGCACAAATACTTACCCTTGTGTTACGGTCGCCTGCAGCATTCAGTACAGTAGCAGATGTGCAGTGTGCAGCGAAGGAGCGCTAGGCTAAGCCATAGAGCCTCGGTGCGGGGTAGGCTGTGCCATCGAGGTTTGTGTAAGCGCACTCTATGGTGTTCATACAAGCACGAAATTGCCTCCTGACGCATTTCTCAGAACATATCCCCGCCGTTACGTGACGCATGACTGTGTTGTTGTGGGAAGGAATAGTAGCAGTAATAACTGCTGCCATTGCTTAACACCTAATTCATGCTGGTTGTGTGCTGGACCTTTGACATATGTTATGGCATTTAAACCTCAAGTGACCCTCTAAAGCAGATATTAGCCCCCCATTTTATACAGGGGGAAACTGGGAGCCAGGGATATTAACCTGAATCTACTGTGATGACTCTAGACATCTGTTTTCCCAGACTGCCTAAGTTTGTCTTTTTCATTGTTTCTAAGTCCCCTCAGATTTTGCTAGCCCACATCGTTGAATCAGAGGTTAAAGCAATCTGTGCCCAATCCGGCTTTCATCTCACCCATTTTGATCCTGGCCTGAGACTTGTGCCCCTGTGTCCTGTTCTGACGGGCCTCAGAGATGGGAGCTCGCCCTTACCCTAGCCTTCTGCGAGACCCTGTACCTGCCCAGCTGCACCCTCTGTCTCTTGTCCTGACAGTTCTTTCTGTGTTGGGGCAGGTGGGCAGCAATGCTGGCATTGTGGGGATGACTAAGGAGCACCTGGGCTTGGCGTTGGCACTCAATGTGCCTGTCTTTGTGGTGGTCACCAAGATTGACATGTGTCCTGCCAACATCCTGCAAGGTAAGTGAAGCCTTCAGCTGGCAGCACTCTCTCTATTTGGGACAGTCACGCTGTGTGCCTCCTTGGTGGTCTGCTGCCAGGGCTTCAGCCCAGAGTCGTCCTCTGCTTCTTTGGTGCTCAGACCTTGGCCTGAATTTCCATCACCCCAGAATCTTCTGCTTCCTCCCTTGTTTGGCTCTTGGTCTGAGTACAGCCTAGAATTACCTGCTCTTTGTTCCTTCTGGTTCCACATCCTTGAGGTCCCTAACTTGGCAGCTCTCTTCAGATGGCCTCAGGCAGGAGTTGGATTTTACTGCCTAAGCTGGATGTGTGTGGGGACATTTGGGCAGAGGGTCTGATTACCTTTTAGCACCAAAGGCTTCAAAACAGGGTTACAGGACTAGGCCTCCCTGCATTTCTCCCTCACTGTTTCAGATGGTAGAAGACACGTGGAGAGGTGTCCTTCTGGAGGGCCTCATAAGGGCTTCTGCAGGTGTCTAATGTGCTAGCGATCCTATTGTCAGCTGAAGTCTTCTCCAGGAAGCAGAGCATTCTGGGAAGAACGTAGCCCTTCTTGTGGACCCCCAAGTCACTTGCTTACAGGCTGTGGGTCTGCTAGAGACTCTGGAGGAATCTGACAGGTTTCATACTCATCACCTTAGCAGACAGGCCCCATCTGTGTTCTCTTTCTACTCTAACAAGCACACATCCACCCAAAGTTTTGATCTTCCTTTTTGCTTCTCCAGGCGTTGTGGCATTTAACACTGGTCCGGCTTTTTTTTTTTTTTTTTTGAGGAAGATTAGCCCTGAGCTAACATCTGCTGCCAATCCTCCTCTTTTTGCTGAGGAAGACTGGCCCTGAGCTAACATCCCTGCCTATCTTCCTCTATTTTATATGTGGGACGCCTACCACAGCATGGCGTGCCAAGCGGTGCCATGTCCACCCCCGGGATCCGAACCAGCAAACCCCAGGCTGCTGAAGCGGAATATGTGAACTTAACCGCTGCACCACCAGGCCGGACCCAACACTGGTCCATCTTATGTCTCCTGCTTGTATCCGTAATGAGTGGACTTGTCTTGCCCTGGAAACCTGCCCAAAGAGAAGGCTGTGTCCCCCTAATTCTGTTCCCTTTCACCTTTTAAGAAACCCTGAAGCTGTTACAGCGCCTGCTGAAGTCACCAGGCTGCCGGAAGATCCCTGTGCTGGTGCAGAGCAAGGACGATGTGATTGTCACGGCCTCCAACTTCAGTTCTGAGAGGTAGTGGGGGAGTGAGTGTTTACTTCCGGGCAGGCACAGCGATTGGATGAAATAGAAGATTCCAGTCTCAGCTCAGGGCCTCCCAAGTGGCAGTGTTGCCAGGGGCTGCATAGGGTGACCTGGATTTTGAGGAGCTGGCCTCGCCGAGGTTGGAATCCCAGCTGAGGCTTCATTCCTTATCTGTGAAATGGGAATAACCTCACCTTCCTCATAGGGCTCTCATGAGTGTTGGAAATGATGTATGAAAAGCACTTAGTGCTGTCTCTGGCTGCTGTGTGATAGATACACAGCCATTTTTATAACTGTTGTTAGTAATTTTTTTATAATGTTTCTCAGAAGCTCTCTAATCAAGATCAGGTTTGGCATTTACTCGTTAGGTATTCTTTGATTCCATATTTATTGGATGTTTGTTCTGTGCCAGGCTCTTCATCTAGGCATTGAGGGTTCAGTTGGCTTGGGCATAGTCCTTGTCCTCAAGGTGGGTAGCTCCTTGGTCAGTTACTCTCTTAATAATAGTGAACTTTGTTAAATCTGTTCCTTCTCCCAGAGTTTTGGGGCTGCTTAGGAGCCATCTGCCTCCTGGCTTGGTCTAGAGTGCAGGACCCAGAGCAGCCTGGCATTTTGGCCTGTGGCTCTGCCCTGACACTGTCTTCGGGACCACCAGTTGGCCAGCAGATGGGGGTCTGCTTCAGCCGGCTCCATTTCACGTCATTCACGTTGTCCGGTGCCTGTTCTGTGCAGGCGCTATTCACTGAACGGTGGGGAATATATCATTCTGATCTCGAGGAGTTTGATTAACCCTGGATAGGAGATACAGAGACCAGTGAGATAACTGAGGAAGACCAGACATAGTTACAGGTAACAGAGACACAAGAAGTTCCTTTAGAGCTCGAAGGAATCGAGAGTGCCCGTCTGGGAAAGGCTTCCTGGAAGAAGCAGCATTGGAGATGGGCTCCGAAGGATGAGAGGAGTTGGTAGTTGGACAAGAGGGAAGGAATTCAGGCAGGAGGATCAGAGTGAACAAATAGACATGAGGGCCAAAAGTACCAAGCTTTTAGGAGAAGGCAAGCTTCTCTGGTCTGGCTAGTATAGGAATTTGAGAGAAATAAACCTGCGGAGATGTGGGGAGGAAGGATCCAGGCTATCTCCTCGGCAGCGGAAGGCAGTTACGGATTTTAAGCAAGCGTGTGTGCTTTAGGAGGAAGAGGCTCCCATTAGCTCCTGAAGTAGATCACTGGTGGAGGGACAGGAGGGGACAGATTTCAAAGACAAAACTGAGGAAGAGAAGAAGGCCTTGGAGCGGGTGTGGCTAGGAGTTGCTAGGTCAGGGCAGAGGGGTAGAGCCCTGGGACGCAACGGAGGGGGCCAGTGGGGCCCTTGGAGCAGCGGCTGGTCCAGGAGCCCTCCTGCTTCCCCCGCCCTGGGTCAGGCAGGAGCTGGCCACCCGAGCACCCTTCTTCCTTTCTCTTCACTCTCCACTTAGGATGTGCCCGATATTCCAGATCTCCAACGTTACAGGCGAGAACCTAGATCTGCTGAAGATGTTCCTCAACCTCCTCTCTCCCCGCACCAGCTACCGGGAGGAAGAGCCTGCTGAGTTTCAGATTGATGACACCTACTCTGTCCCGGTGAGTGGCTTCTGGTGGACTGGGCAGGGTGGGAGGCTGGGCGGGTCCTCCTTACAGGAGTGTTGGGGCAAGTGTGTGGTGGGGAGGGCCCAAGTGGGGATGGACTTACTGGGCCAGGGTCTTCTCTGCAGGGTGTGGGGACAGTGGTGTCGGGCACAACACTGAGGGGCCTGATCAAGCTGAATGACACGCTGCTGCTGGGCCCAGACCCCCTGGGTAACTTCCTGTCCATTGCTGTAAAGTCGATCCATCGCAAGCGAATGCCTGTCAAGGAGGTGCGGGGCGGGCAGACGGCCTCCTTCGCGCTAAAGAAGGTGAGTGTTGATGACACCAAAAACGCCCCTGAGGCTCTGCATTTTGCTAGACTCTGTGCCATCTCCAGTCCTCATGGCTGCTCTGTAAGGCGGGGATAACTGACCTCACTTTGACAGATGAGGAAACTGAGCCTCAGAGAGCACAAGTGACTTGCCCAGGAGCGCGCAGCTAGTAAGTGCTAGAGCCAGGACTTGAACCCAGGCCTGCCTGCCTCTAAGCTCTGTTCCTCCCCCTACTGCCAGCAGGGTGCCCTGAGCTCAGTGGTGAGGTCCGATAGGTGCCTCCCTGTAGCGCAGAGGGTCCTTCTGCATAGGCCGTTGGAGTCCATGCCGAGTCCGCTTCCTGCTCAGCCTTCTGTCCCTGAGGATTGGGATGAGTGCTAGCTCTGGGGTCACTTACCTTCCCCGCCAACCAGATTAACCAACAAAATGGGGCTTTCTTTATTCCTGCCAACAGTCACATCATGCTCGCCCTGTTCTTTCTACCTGAATGCGTGCCTGCCTTTGCCCTCTCACCACCCACTTAACTCTTACCTGTCCTTTGAGGCCCGGCTGAAATGCCACTTGCTGCACAAAGCGTTTCGTGACTCCCACCAGCACTGTTCAGGCTTCCACATAGCAGTAACGTCTGCATCGTACTGTTGCCCCAGAAGGCCTCTGGTCCAGTGCAGTGACACGGCAGGGCCGAGTTGGGGTAGTCCCCATTCCCAGAAGAACAGCTCGTCCTCCGGGACCAGGGGGTCAACCAGAAGGCCTCAGTGACCCTGAGGTCTGGGATTCCTTCTTTCTTTAGATCAAGCGCTCGTCCATCCGGAAGGGCATGGTGATGGTTTCCCCACGCTTGAATCCCCAAGCATCCTGGGAGTTTGAGGCCGAGATCCTCGTCCTCCACCACCCCACCACTATTAGCCCACGCTACCAGGCCATGGGTAAGTGTCTAAGGGTGCTACCAGCCCAGGAGGGCCCCTGCTCTAGCTCCCTCTAGAAAGTGCTCCAGCAACCTGAAGTTTGAGCTCCAGCCAAGAGGCAGGTGTCTGTCCTGTGCAGTCAAGCCGTCCCCTCTGTCCACCCACGAGCTGAGGTGTTTGTTCAGTCCTGTGAACACTAACTGAGTGCTGGCTCTGCAGGGCTCTGCAGACCCAGACCTGCCCTAAGAGCCTCACCCTCAGTCCTTCAGCAACATCTGCTGAATGCTGCTGTGCTGGGCGGTGGGGCTGAGGTGCTGGGACAAAGACGGGGTGGGCAAGGGCCTCCCCTCAAGAAGCCTCCAGTCCAGGGAAGGCACACATGCAGACACAGGGCCCTGTATTAAGGAGCGTGGGCCCAGGGACGGGGGCATCTAACTGGAGGAAAAGGTGGGAGAGTACGAGGCAGGATCAGATCCAGGGGCAGGCCGCCAGCTTACTCGGCCACACTCGGCCTCCCTGAGGTCTGCAGCCTGCTGCAGCTCAAGAGTATTTCGTGCTTTCACTCACTGCCTCCCCTCCCCTGAGGGCACTGGGCAGCTCAGGCCTGTCCTGACCTCCTGGGTCCCTTGGCAGTGCACTGTGGCAGCATCAGGCAGACAGCCACCATTCTGAGCATGGACAAGGACTGTCTGCGCACTGGGGACAAGGCCACCGTGCACTTCCGCTTCATCAAGACCCCTGAGTACCTGCACATAGACCAGCGGCTGGTGTTCCGGGAAGGCCGCACCAAGGCTGTGGGCACCATCACCAAGGTATGGCCGGGCAGGCCTCCTTGCCTGCCCCCAGGGGACACCGGGGCCACTCCAGTTCTAAACCATGAGCAGAACAGGCTCTTCTTGAGAAATCCTGTGGACTCTTCCCTAACTGCCAGGGGCAGAGGCACTAGTCCCTGCCTCGGGAGAGCTGGAACAGCACATCCCTCCTGGGTGGCAGCTCTTAAGATTTGTTATAGCCACACTCCAAATATTTCTAGGTACTGAGGTCTTCACTTGGGCTCTTTGGGAGGCCTGAAGTTAAAACTTGCCCCAGCCTCTTGTTGCAGAGGGAGCAGGACCCTCGGGCTGGAGATGCGCTTGATGCCCTGTGGAGTTTCAGCCAGCTTAGCAAGTTCATCTCACCAGGCTCTGGCAGACTGGACCCTGGCCTGGGAGCTGGGCTGAGTGGGAGACGGCCGAGGTTCACAGACCGTCTGTGGGAAGAGCACCTAGGGCAGGGAACAGGACGGAGTCCTTCTGGGCTGGGCTGAAGCAGGTGCGATATCAGCCCAGGCCGTGGCAGTCCTGGGACACAGTGGAGATGAGAACATCTCTTCACCCACTGCCCCTGTCATGGTCCTCCTGCCATCTGCCCCGCCCAGGAGCAGCCAGGTGGGGGAGTTCCTGAGAGAGAGGGTGGGGGCGGGGGAGCGGGCAGCTGAGCTGAGGTCCCTGCCTGCAGCTCTGGCCTTAGCCTCACCCTCTTGGCTCCTGCAGCTTCTCCAGACCACCAACAACTCCCCAGTGAACTCCAAGCCCCAGCAGATTAAGATGCAATCGACAAAAAAGGGCCCCCTGACCAAACGAGAAGATGGGGGCTCGGCTGGAGGGCCAGCAGTAGGGGCACCTCCGCCTGGAGACGAAGCCTGCTCTCTAGGAGCTGCACAGCCAGCTACGTCCAGCAGTCTCCAGCCACAGGTGAGCGCGCGTCCCGGGCTGGTCCTGGGCCCCTGGCTGAGGGTGCGGCCATTACTCTAGTGGGTAGAGGTGACAAGTAGGAGAGCCTCAGGCAGCCTTCCCTCACTGCCACGTCTGTTCATAGATAGAAGGTGTTTCCCACAGCTCCTGGCACATAAGTGCTATCTAAGTGTGAGCTATTTGTCTCTTAAGGCAGTGTTTTTTAATCTTTGAGATGTGGCCTACATAAAATCAATTTAATTGGTACTGCTTATTAGCATTTCCTTTTAATCAAATAGACTAGAAAAATGTCATCTTCCCTTTCCTAGTCAGAGTAAGTATTGTGTGTGTGTGTGAGTGTGAGAGTGACGCGTGTGCGCTGCCATCCAAACGGTTTGAGAGACGCTGCCTTAGAGGGTCCTCCTGTGCCTCCTTCCTGACATGGCACCTCTGGAGGGGTAGGTGGCCTTGGGCCCTGTGTCACTGTGGCTCTCAATCAGCATCTCCTACCTGCTCTCTCCTGGCACGCCCTCACCTCGCTCCTTCCGGAGTCTGTCTCTCTCCACCTCCTCTGCTCTCTTTCCCGCATTGAGCCATTCCTCTGGCTCATTCATTCCCTTCCTCTGTCCACCTATTAGTGGTGGCAGATGTTGGTTTCTGTTCTCTTTGTGCTTCTCTGAATGGCTCCCTCTCATGCCGTTATCACATGTAACCCACCCATTCAGGAGGAAGGGAGGGTGGGCCAGCTCCACCTGACAGAGAGGAAGTGCCAGGCTCTGGGTCACATCAGAGATGACCACTCAGGCTAGGCTGGGACCACATTAGCTCGTCTCCTGCCGCCTCTTCCCACTGCCCCAGCCCCTCTGCTGTCTTGTCCTGCTCCAATGGGCCACTGCTTCTCAAGCTGCTTCTTTCTCTGTTTCAGCCCAAGCCCAGCAGTGGCGGCCGGCGACGGGGGGGCCAGCGTCATAAGGTGAAGTCCCAGGGGGCCTGCGTGACCCCTGGCAGCGGCTGCTGAATCTACCCCAGGCCCACCCTGTCCACCCAAAGGATCCTCGTGCTCTGGCCACTGCTCCACCAGATGGGCCAGAGCAGCTCTGACCACCACTCACCCTCCCCCAGGCCACAGCCGGAGCCTCATCATTCCCTCACCCCCGTTTTCCAGGGGGGTTGTAATTTATAAGCTGAGGAAGGTGGCCAGATTTCTGGAGGACTGACCATCTCCCACCCTCTTCCCTGCCTTCTTCCTCACCCCTGTTTTTTGTACATCTGGGCCCTTAGTTTTTATTCTTTTTATTATATATCTATCTCTCTACCGTGTGTGTGCATGTGTGCGCGTGCGTGTGCGTGTGTGTTGCAGGAGTGCGGCTGGTCAGGGTCCTGGCAGTCTCTTTTCCTCTTCCCTGGCCGCCTGCCCGTTCATCCGCGTGTCTCTGCAAGAACCTTCAGGGGCTGTCAGGAGCTGAAGGCGCCCTCCTTCCCTGGGTTCTCTCCTCTGTGCCCGGAGCTCCTCCATGGAGCCAGACCCCGGCCTGAGGGGCTTCTGGGTGTAAGTGTCTGCTGCTGCCAGAGCAGGGAGCCCTCCGGCGATGTGGGGACTTTAACAGGTGGAGAGTGGTGGCTTCCTCTTTTCTCTGTCTCCCTCTTTTTCTCCTTAAACCCCAGAACAGGTAATGCCAAAAGCTCTTAAGTTGTAACCTGTAGATGTGTGGAGGGGAGAGGCGATTGGATTGTAGGACCCTCCCCGCCCCTAACTCTGACCCTTGCCACTGACCCAAAGATGGATGGTGGCTTTGCTTTCCCCTTGGAGACAATCCTGTGCTTGCCTGGCTGGCCAGGGTGATGGCTGCTGTGCCGATCTGCCGGGCTGGAGGCTCTCTCCTTGCCCAGGAGCCACCTCCTGCTTGGACTTTGACTCTGAATCTTGTTGGGCCTCGGCGCTTAGCCTGCTCAGGTTGTGCTCACTAGCGCCTCCCATTGGTTGGGGTACGGGGTGTTCCTCTGAGCCAGGCCAGGCACCCCTCCTTCCCCACCACACCCCTGCCACGTCGCCCCAACATGGCTGCTACAGGAGCACAACAGTGAAGGGCCTGAGCCCCAGGTTTGGACACCCCGATTGGGGTGTGGGGAGGCAGGCAGGGCAGAGTGAAAAAGACTCTTCCAGGCCCAGCACAGAGCAGTCAGATCTCTGGAATAATCACTGCCTGGGTGGCGGTGGGTTTCCCAGGCCAGAGATGGCAGTGGGGCTCTGAGCCAGCCTTGTCCGAGCTGTGGACTGAAGCCCCAGTTTAGGGTGAACTGATGGGCGGAGACGTGTTCCTTCTCTCGCCGGGCAGTCACCCAGCTAGCTGGGTCCCTCCCCAGCCTTGCCGCCCCCTTCCCTGTTCCTCCTGCTTCCAGGCTGCTGGTTCCTCTCCAACCCTCCTTCCAGTTACTTCTAGTTACCACTAACCTGTGGCCATGGACTGACCAGACCAGCACACAAAATAAAAGTTTGTTTGAAGTTGACAGTGTCACGTTCCCTGCCCAGCCCCTCCAGGTGGAGGTGCTGCCACGGGGAACACTCACTCTGCCTGCCCCAGAGCCCCGGGCTGCAGAGCAGGGCAGGGCTGGGAGGAGCCCAGCTTCTCCTGTCAGGCAGACGTGGCTTGAAAACCCAGGCTCCTCCACCAGCGTTGACACAGGACAAGTTGCCAACCTTCTCTGAACTGTTTCCTCATCTACAGCAAGAGGTGAATGCTTACGTCAGGGTTGTTGTGAGGATTCAGTGAGCGAGTGTCTCTGAGGCCCTGACGTGGTGCCCAGCATGTGGGAGGTGCCAGTGGACGGTCAGCACACTGCTTACCACTCACACTTGCTCCCAGGTCTGTAGTAGAGGCCACAAGCTGGGGGACAGGCTGGAAAGGAGAAATGTGGCATTGACACCTCTCTGCTGTGTGGCTGGGGCTGAGCCAGGTGTCTCACTCACTTCATGTACTTTGACATTCGCAGCTGCCATCTGCGAGGGAGGTGGTGTTAGTCCCGTTAGTTAAGGAAACAAGCTCAGAGGAGCAGTGCCGCCAGCAGGCGTGTTCGTTCTCGCACCAGCCATTCCCGGTCAGCCACTCCAGCATGTCCTTTGGCCCCTGCCTGTTTCCCGGTTGCTTTTTGACTCTGGTTCTGCTTCCAGGGGCTCCAGTGTTGAGCAGCTCCCTGCTGTCTGTCCCCTTGGCGGTGCTTTGGAATTTGTCTTTCCACAGGACTTGGCCATGGTGGAACCTCAGAGCATTTTGTTTGAATTCTTTTGCCCCTGTGAGCGTAACCACTTTCCCTACATTTGGAAGCTGCGGCCTCCACTCTGGCCTCTGCCTCAGACACTCAGGAGGTCGGTCTGGATCTCTGTGGTCACCACACCTACTAGCAGGGGCTGACTGAGTATAGCATTTTACTGTTGTTAACAGGGACTACGAAGGTCCCCTGTGGGTCTCAGCTCCACCAACTATCCATTTGGAACAAACACCAGCCCTTTTATAGTTGATGAAGAATAAAGTTGTTAATCCGATCCTCTCATGGCAAATCCTGACCGTTCTGTATGTGCAGCTAGCGTTTGTGGTGTCTTTAGTTCAGTCAGACCACTCTTCTGGCTTACTGGCCTACCTGGCACAGGAGAGGGCAACAGCAATGTGCCATGGGGCAGGGGGAGGCCCAGGTTTGACTGGGGTCACGGGAGCTACCACAGAGAAGACGGTGTGAGGGTTGAGGGGCCAGTAGGATTAGGACGTGTGCAGACGGGCAGAAGGTATGTGCCTGGCCCAGAGGGCACGAGCAGGGGCACTGAGCCTGGACAGCGTGTGGCAAGTTCCAGGGACTCGTTTATTGGTGTTTGGGGATGTCTCCTTTGTTGAAAAATGGTGCTAGATGCAGAGCAGGTGTTGAGTGAAATAGGGGTGAGTGGAGTGAGGATTGTGGGGGGCGAGCCGTGGGACTAGCTCTGTCCCTGGACTTAGAGCTGAGGGGTTGAGGATCTGGCCCAAAGCCTCAGGCTAAATTTGCACTCCCCCTGCCTCCCTCTCCTGTGGCATCCCTAAACCCCTCCCTCCTGACCTGTTCTTGTCGTTTGGGAGTTCAGCTGGGGAACCGCCCCTGGCTCTTGAAGCAGCTCATTGGAGGCACTGGATCTGAGGGGAGATTTGTGGGGAAGGGCCGGGACCTGTAGGACCTGAGCTGGCAGATTCTGGCTCCTCAGGGGACCCACCCCTTGTCCTGTCCCAGTACAGGGACCAGGGGCGAATGTGTAACTCCCATGGAGGAGGATGGTCAGTAGTGAAGTGGGTAACTTTCTGCTCAGATGGCACAGAGAGAGACGCGAGAAAAGCCTCCTGCTTTATCACATGTCAGTGACGGCCCATAAAGCCACCTCCCTTCTTCCTCCTGCCTCCCCTCGGGCCCAGCAGCACTGGCGCAGGGCCTGCCGCAGGCCCCATCCCTCATCACGGCAGGGGTTTAGCTGAGAGGCTTGGGTTTCTCAAGTTTTAGAGTAAGTCTTCGGGGCATTGTTTTGGCTCAGAATTCATTCTCTCATTTTCCCAAGAGCAGATTCCCCGTGTGATGGCCAGATAAAAACCCCACACTCCATTAATCCTGGGCATAATTTATTTTTTGCATAGGCATAAATTAGAATCTGGAGATAAAAAATTAAGAACCAATAGTGCAGCATTTGTGACAGGAGAGCGCAAAACAAAACCTGGTTGTCCGGGGCAGGGGCTGTGCCGAGGCCCGTGCTGGAGGACCACAGGTGGCCACAGCCTCGCCTCCACCCCAGCCCCAGCCGGGGCCCAGCCCTGCTCCTCAGGGCACCTGCCTGCACAGCAGCCACTTCTGCCCCCTTCCCACAGGCTGGAACCAACCACATGACTAGAACCAGTGCCCCGAGCCCCTGTGGCAGCCAGGTTACAAGGAACTGAAGTCACCCAGTGCCCCACAGAACGGGGCTAGGAATCAAGCCTTTAGCTTTTCAGTTAAAAAAGACCTTGAAAAATATATACATAATACAGCAGGGCCTACTGGGTCTAAAAGCGCCCCCCTTAGGCCCCTTCCCTACCCAGCCTCCTCCCCCAGCCCCCCACCCGACTGTCCCCCATAGAAAACAACCTAGAAAGGAAACATAGAAAGGAAACAGAATTGAGCAAGAGCTGAAAGGGCCCCAGGGGGGTGGCTGAGAGTTAAGGCCCCTTACATCAGGGACCTGATTGGGATGGGGGGGCAGGGCCCACAGTGCAGACAGACCTCCTCCCACCATGACACCCTGAACAGGTCATCATTGTCACTGGACCACAAGAGCCCAGGCCATCCCTTGCTCTCCACCCTTTCAGCTGATCCCAGATGCTTATGGCCTCAGACAGGTCTGGGGTCCCTGCACCCTAGGGGAGGGCAAGCCCTAGCAGGAATGGGGAGCAGAGTGGGCCCCAGTCTCATCATCAGGAGAGAGAACGCAGCTACTGTCCCCGGCAGAGGGGAATCTTACAGGGCTGGCCCCTGGGCCCCTCAGGGTCACACAGGTAGCAGCCCTGAGGCTCAGAGGAGCCAGACCCTCTACGGTACAAGAAGCCCTACGGCCCACCTCAACCTGGGACAAACACAGCTTATAGAAGTCCTTCAGGCACACTGTGGGCCAAGCTCCCCTAGGTTGATGGCACTAGCTTTCTGGAAGAGCCCAGCTGCCATCTCCCAGGAGCTTCCTGCCTGGGGCCCAGTCCCAACCTGTACTCTCCTTCCAGAGGGCCTCCCCTCCCTGCCTGGGGACAGGTAGCTTGCCTGCCCCAGGCCCTAGCTTGTCCCACCTAGAGCTTTGGCACCTGCTTCATTCACACACCTCCCAACGGCAGTTCCCGTGTGCCAGCCCTCCACCAGGGGTAAGGGGCAGTCCGGTCTCCCCACCTTCGCTGGAACATGTTCACTCATCCCCTCTCCCTGCCTCTCAGTCCCCCATGATATGCTACATATATACACCCTCCCAGGAGGAGGAGGTAGATGCCCGGTGCTGGCGCGAGGAGAACAAAGAATGAAAAGACGCTGGAGCCTGCCATCCACCTCAAGCCGCCCTGTTGCTAGGAAAGCCTGCACATTCCTTCTCATCCCCACTGGGCAGGGGTTCCCGCTCCGGGAAGTCAGTGCACTGATCAAGCGTGTTGGGGGGAGTGGCAGGGCTGCTGCTCACCCACTCCCAGAGGGGGCGCATGCGGAGAGGAGCTGGCCTCCCAGCTGGCTGGCAGTGGCACAGAGGCGGCCTAGTGGGCGGGCTCCCCGTGCACCCTGAAGCGGTAGATGCAGGTGTACTCGGGGTGGCCCCAGTTAGTCAGGATCCGCAGCTCCACCACCTGGTACGTGGCCATTTTAGGATCCTGGGTAGAGAAGAAACGGGTTCAGAGTGTCAGTCCTCAGACCTCTCGGGCAGCAGGCGGGAGGGCAGACAGCCGCCCCGAAGGCCCAGCGCCCTCGCCTGGGTCTCTGCAGAGGACTAGACTTCAAAGCTCCCATCTTCAGACCCTGGAGCAGTTTCCAGCTGGTGGGCCAAGGAGCCCCTGGGCCTTCCAAGGTCCTACAGGGGCCACTGACCCCCAGGAGGGTGCACTGGGCCCGGCCCACAGCCACATCCAGATGGCCTCATAGCTGAGCACCAGCACAACTCACCCCAAACTGCCAGGTTCACAGCAGCTGTCTGCCATGGTCAGTGGAGGAGCTGCCTCACGGAGAGTTTGGTAATGTCAGTGTTGGAAAAGAATCCCTTTACGAATTAAGCACAGTTTCTTAAGTTCCCATCAGGCCTCTGTCCTCTATGCTCAAAGCGTTTTTTTTTTTTTTTTTAAGATTGGCACATGAGCTAACAACTGTTGCCAGTCTTCTTTTTATTAATTCTCTGCTTTCTCTCCCCAAAGCCCCCTGGTACATAGTTGTATATTTTAGTTGTGGGTCCTTCTGGTTGTGGCACGTGGGACACCGCCTCAGCATGGCCTGATGAGCAGTGCCATGTCTGCACCCAGGATCCGAACCAGCGAAACCCTGGGCTGCCAAAGCGGAGCATGCGAACTTAACCACTCGGCCATGGGCCCGGCCCCTAAGCCACAATTTTGGAGCCGGTTTTTGGAGCAAATCTCAACTCGTTTGATGCCACAGGCACAGTGCTCTCCCGCTCTCCCTTCCTACACAGCCTCCTGTCCTCCACCCTCTCATAAAGGCTCAGTCTGCACACAGCCTGAGAAATCCCCACCCCTCCCACGGCTCAGTTATCGCCTCGGAGCTGACAGCTCAGGCTGTATATCCAGTCCCCGCGACTGGCCCATGGGTGCCTCAAACTCGGTAGCCAGACCTGCTCCCCGCTCTGCAGTAGCCTCTCCGTCCTCACCCCCTGCTCCCCTCCAACCTGACACCCATGGTGCTCTCAATTGTGCATCCCGCCGCCTCTCCCTATCCTCACTCCCAGCACCCTCTCCCTGGACCTGCTTCTCCGCAGCCACTGCCTGCTCCATCGCCCTGTCTCCAGGCATGTCGCCCTCACATGCACCATTTACACGCAGTCACAGTGATCTGACTACAATGCACGTCATGTGGTCACTTCTCTGCTTAGAACAGGGCAAGGCCCACCCCCACCCTGCCTAGCCCTGAGGGCTGAAATTCTTTGGCCTGGTAACCAGGCCTGCCTCTGGTCTCTCTTCCTGCCACTGTCCCTTCACCACCTCTCACGACCCCCACTCATGTAATCCCTCACACTAGGTGTATTCCAACTCCTCACCGCTGGTGTCGCTCTCAGGCCACCTGCCTCGGATTCATCTGGGCTGTCGGTCAGAACACAGGTTCCTGGGCCCCATCGGCCCTAAGGAATGGGTCTCTTGGGGTGGAGACTGGGAATCTGCATTTCTAACAAGGACCCAGGAGACTAATGCCCACTCAAGTTGAGGCAAGAGGCCTCCCTCAGTGGCCCACACTGCACTGCCCGAGGCCCAGCTGGGCCACGCCCCCTCAGCCACCTGTCCTTTCCAGGCAGCCTTGCCCAACCCTCCCCATCTGGAAGGGGCCCCTCCCCTGAGCTGACATCTGCGTGGCGCCTCTCCCACGCCACTTGGACAGCTGTCTCATTCCACACCTTGACCTGTGGGAGGGCAGGGCCTGAGGGCAGGGGCGGTTTCTTGCTCTGAACCCCCAGTGCCTGGCACAGGTGCTGCTCTGGAAAACGTCTGCCGAATGGACGGGAAAGTGAATGTGCCACCGCTGCTGGCGCAGCAGAATCCTGTACCTGAAAATAGAATGTCTGAATGGGCTCCCCATCCTGGTCATAGGTGAACTGGCCAAGGAGTGTCCCTTCCTGCTGCAGGTCTTCATCAAAGCCCTGAAAAGAGAGTGAAGGATGGAGGGAAGACCCTGCTCTTAGACATGTGCTGGCCACCCGGGGAGGAAACCCACCCTCCTGCTCCCACACTGGTCGCCTCCCACCCTGGCGGGACGGCAGAGGCCTGTGCACTGGACCCAGGGCTGCTGTGTGCTCTGTGACAAGTCACTTAACTCCCTGGGCCTTGCTTTCTTCCTCTGTAGCCTGAGGTAACTGGGACCGAAGTGCCATTTCCCACCCCGGCGCCATCTCTTCCAAATCCGCCAATAACCCCAACTTTATCCTCAGGGGAGACCTACAGGGTCCTCCTACAGCCCCTCCGGCCCCACACCAGCGGGATACTCACGAAGATGGCGAAGTCCTTGGGGGCACTGGAGATGGTGCTGTTCGGCGACAAGGACTTGGGCACATGCTCTAAGGTGACAGCAGTGGGGCGGATGCGGGCAGAAAGGCGAACCACAGCAAAGCCCTGGGGCCCCTGGAAGGCCCAGCAGTTGCCTGGGTGCACGTCTGGCTGAGGGGAAGAAAGTCGGGTCAGCACAGGGCTCGTGGTGAAGACAGCCCGCCCTGAGCGCAGCTCCCGCTGACCTGGTTACACAGGCGACTCCGCGTGCTCAGGGCCCGTGCTGCTCTCGCTGGGTGCCTACCTGGAGAATGACTCGGGGCGACTGCGAGTGGTACCACAGGGGGATGCCAAAGAGGCTGAGGAGGGCCGTCTTGGTCTCGTAGGTCTCGGAGCACCGGGTACTGATGACACTGGCCCCTGAGACGGGAAAGGAAGGCAGTGTGGGCACCTGGAGCTGGACACCAGCCAGGGAGGAAGACCCTGCCCCACACAACCAGTTCAGCTTGCCAGCCAGGAGACCCTAAGAAGGGGCTGCTATTGCCCACCTCCTGCTGAGGGTGGAGGGCAGATGCCCCAGGCCCCGTCTGTACCCCAACCCAGACCACAGAGCAGCTGTAAACAGTCTCGGTACGTCCCGACTTCTCCAAGCCGTCGCCTGTCTTTGTTGTGAATTCCAGGTTGATGACTTGTTTGCCTAGCACCACGGCTGCCCCAGCAGATCCAGGGCCTGGCCAGGGCAGGGACCGGAGTGTGGCAGAGGAGAGCGGCGCACGCACCTCCCGATTCCAGCGCGTAGTCCACCATCCCGATGCGGTCCTCGCTGTAGCGCTTCAGGGCCTGCTTTACAATGCGGTGCACCTGCTAAAACACAGGCGCCCAGAGCAGTTGGGACAGGAAGCAGCCTCGTGCTGCCAGGGGCCAGGAACCCCTGGACTGACTCCTCCTGTGCTCACACCACACAGGTGTCCGGGCACATATGCCACCGCCCCTGGCAGACCTCCACCCTCCCATACCAGCCCCAAGCAAACACCAGAGTCTCCTGCACGTCACTTAGCTCCTGGAACATGCCAGGGAGCAGCAGTGTGGGACTGTGCGGGTCTGTGGCCCTCGGGGAGGAGGGCAGTGGGGGGGAGGGGTGTCTGGGGGCATGCGGCCCTCACCTCCTCTGTGACCCCGATTACACCTTCCTTCTGCAGCGTCAGCCCCAGGCTGGCTGCGGCCTCCCTCGCTGACTTGCCCTGCATCTCAGCCATGTGGGCGAGGATCTTGCTTTCCAGCTCCTGCAGCTGCGCTTGTATCTCCTCTCGCTGAAGGAGCCCAGCGCGGGTTCCCCCACCTCGGAGAAGGAACTGACTGACCCAGGCAGGGAACTGAGACTCCACCTAGGGACGGAGAAAGGTGTCACTCTGGGAGGCTGGCAGGGACAGCGGGAGCTGCTATGGCAGGGGCCAGGACAGGGCAGCGCCTGGCTTGGGTACAGGGGGTAGGGAAGGAGTGCAGGCCTCCAAGGGGGAGCCACACGGAGGAAAGAGCTATGAACAACGCTCCACGTTATTGATAGAAAAAACAGGAGGAACTCCTGTCAAAGAGAGCCAACATCTGTGCCAAGTCCAGAGCAGGGGGCTTGTGAGACTAACAGGGGGCAGGGGCAAGAAGCTCTTTGCTGTGCAGACTCCCAGGATGGGCCGTCTCAGAGCACGGGGTGTTCAGCAGGGGGTTGGATGGTTCCAACTCACGTCGTCCCGCACGGCCTGGATCTGCTGGGGCAGCAGGTCCACTTGGTCCACCACTGAGCTCTGCTTCAGGGTCAGGGCTGCCAGCTCCTGCCGCAGGCCGGCCAGCTGGCCCTCCAGCCGCCCCAGCTCCTTCATGGAGTTCTCCCGGAAGGACTCCTGCGTCATCCTACTCCCAGAGAGAGAAGAGGAAGCCTTGGATCTCTGGTGAGGGGTAAGGACATGCCGAGGAAAACAACAGGATGCCCTAGTCGGCTCCTGATACGTGGGTGTGTGCCCAGCCACCACCCATACGTGAATGCAAGGCCTGCTCTCGGAGACTCTGGCTGTAGAACACGGCCTGGTGCTGACGAACTGGCTTGCCTATCCCCAGGCGCTAATTCTTATCCTGTTCTTTCTCTAAGCCCACATCCATGATTCACTCTGCCTCAGCCTCTCACATCCTCGACACGTATGGACGTCTGGGGCATGAGGTTGTACTGAAGAGATGGTGTGCCTATAAACGAGCCCACGGATCCCAGTGCTCCTGCAGTGCCCCCCAACTCCCACTGCACCTCAAGGACAGGCTCTAGGCCCGTGGTCTTGAGCTGGGTTTCAGCCATCCCCCTCCCTGCTTGGAGCACAACCAGAACTCTGCCCTGGGCGTCTGCTAGCCAGTCCTGCCAGGGGAGGGGGTGCGGGGAGGTGGGGGGAGGGGCAGGCCTGGGCCGGATGGCAGCGCCCATTACCGTTGCCATTCGGACTTCAGCTGCTGGAGTTGAGCCTCAGACTCCTGTAAGCAGGAAGAAGGGACAAAGACAAGAAATGTCAGCCTCAGAGCCATCAGTCTCCCAGAGCAGGCTCTTTCCCTCTTGGGGTCTTTGCTGAACCACATCGCCACCCCAGGGTCTCCCAATTCCTCAAGCAAATGTCACACTGGCCTCCTGGTGAGGCCTCACGAGAGTCCACCCCGTATGTGGCACACTCAGGCACTGACACGTTCACTCCTTCGCTCGGCCATGTTACACCTAGACAGCAGCATGTTTGAGGGTAGCCCCTCCTGTCCTCAAGCCCACTCCCCCTGCTCCCTACATAGCCCTCCAGGCCAGCGGAGCTCGGCTCAAGCAGCAGTCAGGAGACCACACACCCCTGCTCCCCGTTCTATGTCTAAGCAGGCCCTTGGAGAGGGGCCAGGGGTCCAAGGTCGCTCAGCCCAAGAACGAGGTTGAACTGGATCCGGGCCCCAGTGTGGGCCCCCAGTGCCCCCAAGCCCACTGACCTGGGAGGCCTGGACAATCTTCTTGAAGAGGTCCTCTAAGTCTTGTTGGTGTTCTGCTCTCAGGGTAACCAGTTCTTCCTGTCGGGCAGGAAGGAGGGAGGCTGAGGATTCTACCAGCGCTCAGAGGGCCCCTTACAGCCAGTGCGTGGCGTAACTGGAACTGGAACCAGGCCCGTTGGATTGCAAACTTCAGCTCCCAGCCTCTCTGCTACAGTGCCTCTTGGAAACGCGCGCGCGACTCCTCTGGATCTTTGCTGCACGCCCACATGGTGTCGGGCACTGTCCCAGGCACTTTACCATCTCACATTCTCACAACCAGGGGCGGGCCCGGGGGCAGATGGGAGAGTCTCCATTTTAAAGAGGAGGAAACTGAACCTTAGAGACAGTGAGTAACTGCCAAGTGGCAGAGCTGTCTGACCCCAAATGACACCCTTCTGTTTCTCTCATGTCAGTGTACGGGCCCTCGCCCCCTCCAGCCCACGCGCCCACAGCATCACCCACACGTGACACTCAGCTTCCACCCTGAGACAGCAGCCCCTCTCCCCACCTGGATCCGGGCAGCAGTGTCCCTGCGGAAGTCCTCCTTCAGGGCAGCCTCCCGGCGGCTCACCAGCCCCTCCAGGAGCCCCAGGGTGTCCTCGTGGCTCAGGCTGCCGCTGCCTCCCTGCCCCGTAGCCCCTTGCCGCAGCTCCAAGCGTTCCAGCCGCATGGCCTCCTTCTGCCAGTTGGAGGAGAACTCGGCAGCAAGAGCTTCCAAGCGCCGCTCCAGAGAGTGCACCCGGGACAGAAGGCGCTGCTCAGCCTGGCGGGTGGGGGGAAGCCAGAGGTGAGGGTCTGCGACAACAGTGCCTCCTGAGGATGGGGCTGCAGAGAAAGCGACGGGAACACCCAAATGCAAACGCACGCTGGCCCTGAGGCCGCAGGACAGCCTCTGCACTGCAGGGAGGTGAGTACCTCAGCAGGCAGGTGCGGTGCCAGGATACATGGGGCTGGGAAGGGTCTGATCCCAAAGCCAGAGTGAGTGTGGGCCAGGGGAGAGGGCACAGAGCGCCCTCCCGGAAGAGGGTCCGAACGGAGGGCAGTCCAAAAAGAGGACCTGGAGCACAAGATGACCTGCTGGGCTGAGCCCACCCCCTTCTCTCTCCTACGCAGGCATGTATGCGCAAGAGCCAGGGGCCACGAGTTCAGCTGCTGACTTTCACCAGCTTCCACTCCTTCCATACATAACTATGGCTAAAAGACCAAATAATCTGAAAAGGCTTTTTCCTCTTTAACTGGATGCCCCACAGCAAAGACAGAAAAGTCATTTGGACTTGAGGGTGGCATATGATAACATGCCATGAATTTTGAGAACCTTGCTTGCTTAGCAACAAAAACTTTTGCCAGGAGAAATTTGTCAACTGTTTGTCAACTGTCGATTAAAGGGCAGGGACCTACTGAGTGCAGAGGTTGCTCCTGATTTTTAAAAATTCAAATTTTTAAATAGGCAGTGTGTTTGCACGACTCAAAAAGCAAACAGACAAACAGCAGAAGTCATGCTCCTGACCTCTGTCCCCATCGGCCCAGGGCCCTCACTGCCACCCCCTCCCAATCAGGCAACTATTTCTATTAATGTCTTTATCAAAAGTAAGAAAACATAAAGATATATTCATTCTTTACTTCCCCCATTTTACAGAAAAGGTGGTCTTGAAATTGAACTGTATTTATTGTCTTTAATAATGATTAAAAAAGGAAAAGTTACGGATGCCAGAACATGTCATTATTTTATGAAATAATAAGATCATGGTCAGGAAAGTAATATCCATCAAAATAAATGGTTTAAAATGTGATACCAAATTAAATTCAACAGGATGCTGGCAAAGTTCAAAAACTATAATTAGGGGACAGAGAGTTTTATCTTTTCACAGTGGACCCCAGGACCTGTGCACAGCATTGTACGTAACTGTAGGCTTGCACCTGCAGGCTCCTGAGAGCACAGCTGGCCTGATCCATCTTTAGCCTCTGGCAGATTGCAAAAATGGCCTCTGTCCCCCCTCCTCCCTGCATCTGCACCCTCTGCAGCGTGGCCTCGCAGGTGCTCTCACTGAGAGGGGGGAGTCTATTTCCCCCTCCCTGAACCTGGACTGGCCCTGAGATTTGCTTTGGCCAATAGAACATGTCGGAAGTGACAGTGTGCTAGTTCCAAAGTGAGGCCTCAAGTTCCAGCCTGATTCGGCTCTCCTGGAACCTTGCCCGGCGGCTGTAAGAACGAGCCTGGGCTAGCCTGCTGGACGACAAAAGGACATGGGGAGCACAGCTGCCCAGGCAAGGCCTAGACCAGCCTGCCCGCCGACCCAGCCAATTGCAGACACACAGGGAGCCCAGCCAAGATCAGCCACCCTTGCTCAGACCAGAGAGCCACCCAGAGGACCCTCAGCCTCATGAGCTAACCAGATGCTTGTAGTTTTAAAGCCCTGACTTTAGGGGTAGTTTATTTGTGGTAACAAGTGCCTGAGCAACATATTACCTTACTCATAGAAGGTGCTCAGTAAATACTAGTGAAATTATATTGAAAAGGAACAAAGTAGACAAGACAATGTGTCGGATGCCTCTTCCTTCCGTTTTCTGTGCTTCTGAACTTTGGGACAGTTCTGAGTCATACTTAAGCAGAGGCAAACCAGCCCCCCAGTGCCTGCACCCAAGACAGTAGAGAACGGGGTGTCCTGGGAGATGAGACAGCGCCCCCGCTGGAAGAGCATCTCTTCAGGGTTGCACATAGGTGTAAGAGCAGGCAGACCAACCTCAAACACAGGCTCAGGGAGGCCCGTGACCCTCAGACACTCACCTGGAACTGTGGGGACGACTCTCTGGACTCCCACACCTCATGCTGCTGGCTGTTGCCCTTCCCTGCCCACCAGGAAACCACGGCGGGGTGGAACGTCTGCAGCCAGTAGGGGTAGAAATACCACGCACCTGTACACAGGGGAGAGGTGGTTACCCGGGCCGAGGGCCATACAAGGAGGTACCCAGCGGTGAGGATGGCAGCCTAACCAACATCGGTTATCAACAGCCCATCTCATCCACGTGAACTGTGCTCCCGCCAGAAGGCGGTACAGGGATGAAGGTTCCCATGATGCTGAGGCAGCAACCTGACAATCCCAGAGCAGATGCATTCTCACACCCCCTCAGGAATCCTCACATTCTGTAGATGGCAAAACTCGGAGACAATGGCTTTAACAAGCTAGGCATGATCCAGGGGTAGAACCCAGAGGCCTGATGGTGGTTCTGAGCCGAGGCGGTACATCAGAATCACCCAGAGAGCTTTTAAAACACTCGGTGTGTGGCCCCGCCCTCCAGAGGGTGAGTCCATTGGTCTGATGGGCCTTCGTAGGTGAGTTGAAAAGCTCCCCAGGTGATTCTACTGGGCTGCCACAGTTGAGAATCACTGACACAGAACACACCCCCTAAGAGAGGCTGCTTGTGGTCCCAGAACAGAGCACAAGGCTGCAGCCACACAGAGACGCTTGCGTCTTGCTTTAGGGGCTCTCTGTGACGTGTTTACTCCTGAGCTGTGCGTGTGTGCATGTGCATATGTGCACGGGAGTGAGGGTGCCTGAAGAAGCCATATTAGCTGAGGGGTCTCCATCCCGGTAGGACTGCACACTTGCCGCTCAATCGTCACCAAGAGCCGGTGTGACGGGCAGCACACGACCACCAGGCTTTGAGTCAGACTCTCTAAAAGCGCCCCGCGTCCTGCACTCCCTGAGCAGGTCCCTGTGCCCCTCTGCCTTTCAGACTCTCCACACGCTTCTCCTCATGCTACAATCCTGAGATCAGCTCCACCAACCCCACAGGGTGACGGCTAAGCTTGCATTAAACAGATAACACACAGGAATGTGCTTCCTGAACAAAACACTATACCATTATAAAGGGTCATTATTTAAGGGCGATGCCCAGTTTTCACTGGATATGAACAAGCTGTTCTTGCAACAGGAAACAAAAAGGAAATCAACTGTTGGAAAAATATTCTACTTTGGTGTTAAAGAAATACAAGTTGAGCAGACGCTAAACGTATAAAATCAACCCTCCACAAAAAAATAAATAAAGCACGGTGTTTAATTATAAATTGGTACAATCATTAAAACTGAGCCTGGGGGCCAGAGACAGCTCACGTGGAATTGTGAAACTCACGTGAAACTGTCAAATGCAAAGTTGAACACGAAACGTATGTGTAAACATAATGATTACTACTGTGTAAAAAATGTGACAGTCCAGTGACAGAGATTGGAACAATGTAGGGCATCTTGTAAATGCAGGTATCTTTGTGTAAAAAGGCATACTTCTCCTCACTACTTTGTTGTTTGGATCTTAAAGATAGGTAAAGATTGAACTTGACGTTATAACAATAATTCACTCACCCAGATGACATCCTGATTTGAAATGGAGGGCAGTAACTGCTAATAAGAACAGTGTCAGAGTGCCTGCTTTTTACCCCAATACTCCTGTGCTGGGGCATGTCCAGTCCAGGTGGCTCCAAAGATGCTCTAGATGTGCCATGGGGTACAGTGTAGCCACCCGACTGAGGACAAGATCAGTGGATCGGGGCACGTTCCCTTTCACCCACTGGAACACCCTGAGAATGCCACAGCATCGGTCAGCAGAAGTCCCAGGAGAGCCAGACAGGAGTGGCCTCAGGCTCAGGGCTTAGGAGCTGCTCAGCCTCAGTCTGACCCCAGTTGGCCTACCTCCTTCCCTTTCCTGCAGGCGATCGCTATCCCTCTGGTTTTCACACTTCTGCTCAGCACCAGCCTCCGCCCACACTCTGCCCGGCCCCTCCGGCTCAGCAGCCCCATCTCAGCACGGCATGCTCGGCCCACCTTCCCCTGCAACAGTGGCCAAGCTCACCGTACGTCAGGCCAGTCAGGAGCAGCAGCAGCAAGAGGAACCACAGGAACGTCTTCAGGGACGAGAAGCGCCTGGACCGCACGGGAGAGGAGAGCAGGGGAGGCGGAGGTGTCAAGAGGGCTCCAGGGCCCCTAAATCCCCTCAGGGAGCCCCTTGAGACTTCTCCTGGGGCGCTAAACTGGAGTTGAAGGGGGACGCCCCGAGTGTCCTGTTCTGCCCGGGCCAGACCGGACGCTTTAGAGCTTTACCTGCAGGTCTTGGAGTAAGGGGGACAATTCTGATTCTGAATTTTATTGATGTTATAAATATATATAAGATATACGTTTATACATTTGATGTTATAATATACATAAAGAGTCTTTGAAAACCCTAAAATTTTCATATATAGAGGTCCTCTAAGCAAGCAAATATAGAAAAAAATATGGAACTCCTTAAACAATGTTTTCTTTTAGAAAAACGAGGAACCTTTTTTTGGTGACACGAATCCATCCTTGCCCCTCTTCTCAGCATAGCTGGCCACCCACCCCTACTAGGATTACGGCCACAGGGACCCTGACTTCCTGGCTCAGTCTTCTTTCCTCTGCCAAGGGGCCAGTTCCTAAATCCTGGCACAGCTGGGTCAGGGGCCCGGGGGACAAACCCACAACATCCTCAGGCAGTGCCTATTCACGGCCTCTGAAGACCAGGTGGAAAACCCTGGGTCTGGATTGCCACAGGCCCGGATGGAAGCTGAACTTTCTGGGAAATACCACTTGCTGGCTGGCGCCTAAGGCCTGACCAGCAGGAGGAAGGCCAGGCTTGTCTGAGAGTCATAAGTGGCAGGGCGGGGCTGGCATTTAGCAGGAAGCCTCCAAGAAGAAATCAGAACCTGTGTTCCAGAATACTCCCCGAAGGGCTATCAATTTGGGGAGCAAAACCTGACTGAGTGCCACCCTCCACTAGGTAGAGGGCCTCTGGGGCGTCTACTCCAAGCTCACTAATAAAAAAGCTTCAAGTGGACTGGGAAAAACCCCTCAGAGAAATGATCAGACACGGGTTTAGATGCTGTACAGCCCTCCCACCTGGGGCTTTCTGACTCATTGTCCAAGCAGAGCCCCACTGACCTGGTTAAAACGAAGACGTCGAGGAGGGAAGCAGCTGTCGTCAGGCGGTACCAGGTGGTGCCAACCCACCAGTAGAGGAGTCCGAAGAGCCGGCCTGGAAGAGGGACCATCCAGCTTAAGTGTCACCCTGAGCGTCGGCCTGCAGGTCGTGGTTTCAGAGTGCCACTCTCTCTCTCCACCTGCGGTCCTCCAGGCCCCTACGAACCCCGACCTGCCAGTGACCCTCTGTCCTGTCCTACTACTCAGCTCCTCTAATCCCACCGGCCAGTCTGCCAACACCCTCTGTCCAGCTCTGCAGCTGCTCCTGCCCTTCCAAGCGAGTGTGTTCCCATGGCTCTTGGCTCCCAGTGATTATTCCAGAATGAGCTTTCCCCAGTGGGCCTACAGTCTCTCTGTACAGGCAGAGAGATGGGTAAGCAGTGTCTGCTGTAGAGAATGGGAGCGATATTTCACAGAATAGCCAGTGCCGACCTGGAGAAGTGACCACCATCCAGAAAAAAGAGCCTGCCCGAGACACAGCGCTCCTCAACCGTGAACCCGAGCTCCGCTGGTCCGTCTCTGAGTATCCTGCGGGGAAAGGGCGGAAACCAGCTCAGTCTGCCCTCACTTTTAAGAGCCCTGGGTATGGAGACTGCCTGTGACTTAAGTGTCTTTTCCTGTGGCCCGTGAGCTGAGGCCATGTGTCATTCTGCTTTGCATTCCCAGAGCAGCACGCAGGCCTGGCCCCTGGGAGGTCAGCAAAGTCTGCTCAAGGAATGAAACGGTAGGCTTCTGACGTTTCATTTCCCCTGAGCGCCTGTCTACACCCTCCTCCTCACCAGCAATCCCTCAGCCACTGTTCAGGACTAGACTAAGGGGTCAGGCACCTCCCATGCGTGAAGCCCCAGATTAAAATGTTTGCTGGAAACGAGCCAAACAAACGTGCTGACCTCAGGCTGCTCAAGGACTAGTGGGGACGGGTCAATCACAGCCCAGTGTGATGAGGGCCACCCCAGGCCTGGGCTCTGGGTGCCATGGTGCACAGGAGGAATGCCCAGCCGGTCTGCCAAGTGCTGGCCAGACACTGCTCTCAAGCTGTCCGGGTGCACCTTCCCCAGGCTTCCCGCCCCCTCCCCAGCAGTCCAGAACCTGCTGGTGCGTCTTCCTGAGGAGCTCCCGCCTCCCTGCCCTACCTGCATAGTCATCCTCAGAAGAGTAACCGGAGGAAGACCCGAAGAAGTCCTCCGAGAGCTTGTTCTCCGCCAGCCCGTTGATTTTGCTGCTCTCCGTGCCGCCTGTGCCTCTCCTCCTCCTTACCCGCAGGTCTTCACCTGCGGAGGGAAGAACGCAGGGTTCTCCTGGGGTAGAGACGCTCTGAGGAGGGTATTCCAGAGGAGCATCGCCAATTGACAGCCAGAATCTGCCCGTGGCCTCTCCCCACCCTCCGGGTCCAGGGTAGGGTAAGCCGGGCCCTGGCCCCCTTGTCTCTTGGGCCTGGAGCAGCTATGCGGCTATGTCTCCATCTAAAGGGACCAGGGAATTCAGACACTTGGATGCTCTTCCAAGGGTTTCCAAAGAGAGGGAGCCCCTCCTCTGGCCCAGGAGTGGTTAGGAAACCACTCAGTGGGGGGGAGGATTTTGGACCCTAAGTTTCCAGAGGAGGCAAAGCCCCAGGAGAAAGGCCTAGGACACTCACTCCAGTAGGAGTCACCGTGCAGCTGGTCGTCGAAGATGGAGCTCCTGGCGAGGGCGGCGGCCCGGGGGCTGCCAATGTAGGACTCCCTGACCACCGACTCACTGTAGTAGGAGGTGTGCGCGTCAGAGGAGGGGCCCAGCTGTGGCGCTGGGGAGAGGCGCTTCATGTTGCTGGATTTCTTCTTCAAGGTCCTGTGGGAGATCAGCCAGGACGGGGGAGGTGGGGACAGGCTGGTGAGACCAGCCAGGAATCTGGAAGCCCGCAGCCTGTGCCCTCCTATAGCGAGTGGGCTGGCCTTGTTGCTAGGCAACTAACAGCTCCCAGCTACCTACCGCCACTGAGCGCAGGTACTTTCTCCTGCTCCCATTATCTCCAAATCTCACAAGCAGCAGGTGAGAGCCTCCCTAAGTGATGCAGCTGGGATTCAAATCCAGGTCTCTAACTTCAAAGCCAAAATTTTTCTCACGCTTCTCAATGGATTAGTAACTTCTACAACCCACCGAAACCCAACCCGGCCTCCTAGAGCTAGCTGAAGCCTGGGGGGAGGGGGGACTGGTATCCAGTGCTCATGTCTGCAAGGGGAGCAGGACAACCAGGTGGCCACCCGCCTTGGTTCATTTCTGGTGATCCTCTGACTTGTTCCTCTCCTCGGCCTCTTCATTGGCTCCACAGATAGAAAAACACAGGGTGTGGGTCTGGGGAGGGTGGTCAGACGGGCACACCCATCCACAGCAGAAGGGGTTCCTGTGAGCCCAGCTTGCAGTTTCGGGGTTTCCGGCCTGGCTTATTCTTGAAGCTGCCTCTCCCCACTTCCTGTTCTCTGAACAGGAGGGCAGCAGTCTGGCTTACAACAGGAGAAGAAAGGGCACTGGATCCTGGCATCCTCATAGGTGTGAATGTCCCCCTTGACTGGACACGTGTGTCTGATCTCTGCCCACAAAGGTCACAGCAGGAAGACACTGCACAGTGAACTGCCTGAGCCAAGTGCTCCGCGTGTCAGAGCGATCCGCAGGGGTGGGGGCGACCCCTACCTGAGAGGGCTGTCTTTAAACAGGGTGCTCTGGCTCCCCATCACTGAGCTGCCTCCACTGCTGCTGCTGCCGTCATCGTCACCCTGGGAGTAGCGCGTGAGGCGCTGGCTTCGACGAGACATGACGAGGTGGGGTGGGGACCCTTCCCCTGAAGAGAGTCTTGGGAGAGAAAGGAGGACATGGGAGGTGTGGCACTGTTCTCAGCTCCTCCCCGGGGCGGAGAGACATGGCACTGCCTCCCAGCGAAAGGACCACTCCCTGTGCCTCCAACCCAAACAGCCTGAGACATGGGAGACGGGCATTTACGAAGCATCTCCCGCACCAGCGACCCCCAACCCCGGCTGCTGGCCCCACCCCACCTCGGGCTCACTTAGGGAGCTTCTTCCACGGCGCTTTCCACAAGGTTTCTACCCTTAGTTTACCTGACCCTGAGCCCCGCGAGAGCCAGAACTGGACCTTCCACAACCTTTGACATATAGCAGAGCATGTGGCACATGATAGGCATGCAACGGATGCTAAATGAACGCCTTTGGTCACTGCTGCCCTGCACAGACTCTCCCATCCAGCCATCCCCCGACGCTGCCCCCTCCCTAGAGCTGTGTCTGGTCTCATTCTGCTGTTTCCCTTTGCTGTGACCCGCTTTCCTTTCCTCACGGCTGTACTCAGTGATTCAGGGTCCCAATCAAACTCCGACTCCAGAAAACCTTTCCCTGCAGACCCCCTATATTCCAATGGGGCTTGGATGCTGTAGTCCTTTGGCAATTTCTGTGCTGCAACATCCGTGCATCTTGATGTGATGATGACGGTGATGATAAAATACTTTGTTAAATGCCTCCTGGGGACCAGGCTCCTCACACACCCATTTCTGATGCTTATGAACAAGGGAGGTATCGCTACTCTCACCCTATAAGGGAGGATCCTAGGATACTGAGAGGATCGGGGACTTGCTCACGGCCACCCAGCTTGCGGTGACAGAGGCAGGGTTTGAGCTGAGATCTGACAGGTGGCAGGGCCTGGGCCTTTCCACTCCACCTAGAAGTTTTCAAGTTGTTTCAGGAATGTGTCATGTGTCCCCAACTAGAGTATTTTCTAGCCTCAAATATGCTCAGAACACGTTGTAGACAGAGTTGTTACACAACACATATTTGTTAAACTAACACAACCGGGAGGTGGAGCTACAGTGTGGGACTACAGTCAGTCCGCGCCGGGCGAGTCCCCACGTGGGGCAGGAAATCAAGGCTCCGCAGTTGATAACGAGGACTCAGAGGAGGTCAAAGTGAAAAGACCTGGCAAAAGGCACCATCCTACAACCCGAGGAGGATTAATAAGCTTTTCAGCTCTAGAAACCCAAATTCAAAATTTCAGATTACCAACAGGAGGATTCTTGCCATGGTGCCTTTGCCAGCCTGTATCACAAAATCATTGTTATACTGAGGCCCACCAGAGCGTCCCTAGTACGTGTGACTTGTTGTCACTTCTAATATTCTTGGCTGATACTTAAATTACTAGTTCTCTGGGTAGCATCGTGGGCATAGACTAACACATCCCGACTCAGACTACAGAAACCAGAAGGTCTGGTTAGTCCAGCGGAGAATTCTAGAAAGCCCTCTTCTGAAAAACAAGCAGCCTCACATCTTGTCTTATTGGCGTCTTCTCAGGGAAGATGCCCACCTGGCATCCCTCCCTGGTTTTAGCCGGAGTTAGTAAAGGGACCACTTGGTAGCCGCCAAAGCAGGAAGTTGACCTGAGTCCTTTTCTACGCTCCTCTCCTTATAAGGTAATTCCACCCCCACGGCTGCCCTCCCCACCTGAAAGCTCCAGATGCCCACACAGGCTCCTCCTCTTAACCCGTGCCCTGCTGGAGGGGATGAAGCCTTCGCCCTGAGGCAGAAACAAAGCAATGTGTTTATACAGCACTCAAGCTGCTGCTGGCGAGAACAGAAATATTCAGAGGTGTGTGTGTGTCCGGTGGGGGCTGAAAACTGTCAGCAGTCAGCACCCGCCTCCACCCTTCCAGAGGTGTCTCTTAGTCTTTCCTGAGATCACAAAACAGTTTGCAAATTGAGCCTGGGTTTCACAAGATGAAAAAGGTCAAGGCTCCATCCTCCAAAACAAAACAAGAAGTGAGCTTCTAGGAGCTAAATCTTTTGCATATGAGAATAAATACCTCCCCAGACACACATGATCAGTTAAACTCTCAAAGAAAACTCCCCTCCCCACTTCTGAGCTGAACCACATCCTTTTCTACACTCTACCTTTCCACGCCCCCCTCACAAACTTACATGGCAGTACCCATCCAGTCTTCAGACTGACCTAGATCCAGGGCATCTTCCAAGGGGCATTTTCACACTACACGCCCTCGCGGGACCTGTAAAAGCGCCAGGGGCGAACTCCCTTCTCCCTGCATTCCCTACGGCGGAACCTGCAGAGTTTTACCAACCACGCTCCTCCCCTGCCTCTCTGCTCTAAGTCACACTCCCGCCCCGTTTGTTTGGCTTCTTTTTTAAAAAACTGAACAAAATGGGCCTTCCTCCTATTCCCAGAGTTCTGACAGGCGGCGGCAGAGGCAGGGAACGGCCTGTCCCTGGAAACTGCCTGACTGGCACGAAAACGCAGACACTGCCCTGGGCCGGTCTGGGGCAGCCCGGGCTTCGCTCCCCTCCTCTCGGGGAGGTGCCCGGGGAAGTCCCGCCTGGGACATCCGCCCTCCGGGCTGACCAGTGGGGCGGCCAGCCCCGGGGGCGGGGGCCGGGAGGCGGCGATGAGTCAGGGCGGCCGGCCTTGGCTCGGCGCTGGCCCTTCCCGACCGGCCCAGGGGCGTGCGCCGGGCGGGGCTGGAGCCTGGCCCAGCTTGTGCCGGAGAGGAAGAACCAGGCCTGGGCAGCTCGGCCCCGGCCGGAGCGGCCCGACGATGACCCCGGGGTCAGGCTGGGCCCAGGGCCCGCGGGGAGGCGGGCGAGGCCGGCCCACCACCCTCGGCCCGCGCGTCCGCCCGCCCGCGGCCCGCTGCTCGCTGTTACCTGCTGCCGGACAGGCTCCGTGCGGGGCCGGGGGCGTCCGAGGCCCGCTGCGCCGCCCAGGCGCGCCCGCTTCCCGGGTCGGAAGCCCCCTAGCGGGCTCGCCGCGGGGTCCGGGGAGCTGCGGCGCGGGACGAGGCCGGCAGACGAGCGGACAATGCGGCCCGCGCACAACCTCCCTGCGCGAGTGGGGCTGGGCGGCGCGCGCGTGGCCGACTGTGTATGTGTGCGCCTGTCAGTCAACGCTGACAGGCCGCACCCCATTGGCCAGGCCCCGCCCGCGTCACCGCCCCCGGCCGCCGCCCATTGGGCGGTTTGAACACAAAGGCCCCGGCTCGCCCCGCCCGCCGCGTGGGCCCAGCCGCCCGGGCGCGCGGGGTCCGGGGCCCGCGAGTGGAAGCCGCGGGCTCGGGGCGACGGGCGACCGCGGGAGAATGCAGCTGGGGCCGGTGAGCGGGGTCACGACCCGGCCTGACGGCGCACTTGACTCCGGCTCTGGCGGCTCAGAACACCGGAGCCCGCTCCCAGCGTTGCCTCGTGCGCCCCTCCCCACCCGCGGCTCTGTGGCCGCGGCGTCCGTCCAGCGCTCCGCGATCTGACTCGACGAGGCCGGGATGCCCGACCTTAAGGGCATTGGGTGGTTGGGGGTAGGGCCTCCGAGGACGGCCTGAGGAAGTGGGGAGCAGGGGAGGTGGAAGACCCCCGGCCTAGGGCCCACCTAGCGGGGTAGCACGTGGTTAGCCCTTAGTGGAATGTCAGGAAACTAAGGTTGAAGGCTTGCGGAACGCCGGCCAGCGCATGCGTAGCTGTCTTCCTAGTCACGTCTGCCTTTTCTACGCCCATTTTACAGACAAGGAAACAGGTTCTTAGAGGTTTTAAGTGATTTGCTTAAAGTCACAAAATTGAGATTAGAAGATTCTCTCCACACCCACGTCCGTGTTTTTTCCATTTTGGGATTCTTTGGGGATTCCAGACATGGCAGGAGGCTCTGCGGCTTCCCGATCTGCCCCTAGAGCCCTCAGGTTTCACGGCAGAAGGTTTCTTGGTTCTAAAGAGGGAGCTCGCCACTCTTTGTGCTGAGAAGGCGGGGCTGGCTCCCTGTTCCTCTGCTTTACTCGAATTCGCTGTGGAATGAGGCCCGATAGATCCCGAATGAGTCAAACGCCACCTGACTCCAGGGCCCCTGTGCCCAGGCTTGCGGCGGCCAACTTTACAGAAGCAGCAAGTGCACAGCTTGGGAGGAGCCACTTCCTGTGCAAGCTGGTCTAAGAGAAGATGAAACCGTCCTCATTTCACTGTTAAAGTGCCAAGAGGAAGAGACAAGAAATGACAAAATCACCCCTCTGAGCCGTTTTCCTCATTTGTAAAATGTGAATAATAACAAGGACAGGAAGGCGCTAGGGGTAGGGGATTGAGGAAACGCAGAGCTCTTGTGCTAGGTCGACTCCAGTTGAAAACCCTCCCCGCTCCCTGGGCCTCCATGGCCCCACCTGGAAAAGAGGGGCCTCGCCTAGCACTTACAGCATCTCGAAGGCAATGCTGCGGGCCAGTGTTGCTTCTGGGCTTAGACTGCGAGCTCGTGAGGACTAGGGCCTGGCTCCTGTCTGAGTATCTGCTGAACGTGGAGCCCGTGAAATGAGAACTCAAGTCAGATTTAGGGGAGGGTCTCCTCACCAGGATGCTTACCTCCCCAATTCTGTCCTAGCTGGTTTCCGTGGAGTCTCAGACCGTACCACCTCCACTGCAGAGCCTGCTTCCCGCCTCTCCGAGGAGCCTGGCAAAAAGACCCCTTCCCAGGATGGGCTGGTTTGTGGAGAAAGAGGTGCTGTGCCTTCCACTGGTCTCAGGCAAGAGCGTTGCCCACGGGCTGGCTGGAGGCAGGGCCCTCTTAAGCTGTGTTACCTCTGTGGACCTGTAGTAGGCAAATAACGGGCCCCAAAGACATTAGGTCCTGATCCCTGGGACCTGTGAATGTTATACGTGAAAGTCTTTGCAGCTGTGAGTAAATGAAGGCCTTTGAGATGGGGAGATTATCCTGGCTTTTCAGGGTGGACCCTAATGTAGACACAAGTGTCCTTTTAAGAGAGAGGTTAGATGACACCTTGATTTCAGGCCAGTGATTTTGATTTTGGTGGACTTCTGCTCTTCTGAACTGTGAGAGAATAAATTTCTGTTCCTTTAAGTCACCAAATTTGTGGTACTTTGTTCCAGCAGCCACAGGAACGTAATATGGGCCCCTGGGAAATTTTTGGCCTCGCTGTTCAAGGCTCTCGTGATTGTGCCTGGCCCCTCCCTGTGTCCTGACCATCCTCACTGACACCACCCCCGACTTGTGAGACCACACACAGACTTGTCTCCCCATCTCTCCTGGCCCTGGCCTCTGCCGTCTGCTGGCTCGGCAGCTCTGTGCCCCCCCGACTCTTCTCTCTGTGCAGCTGCCATTCACTTGGCTAGCTTCTCCCCGCTCTCGTCTCCTCTTTCTCGTTGCTGTGTTCTTGCTGCCTCTTCCTCTCATCATCGTTTCATAAACAGTGGCAGGGCAGGAGGTGGACGGCTTTGCCCCAGCTAGAACAAGGTTTCAGTGGCTGACAATGCGGCCACTGAGCGGGGCCACATTATGCCTTTCTTCACTGCTATGCACCTTTGCCTTAATGGCCCCTTCCTTCATAAAAAAATGTTTAAAGTTAAATTTTATGACCACATTGGTGGAAAGATAACTGTAATCCAGGCTTGATTCATTAGTAAATATTCATTATTATTACACTTAATCCTCTCCTTAATAGAGAAGTTGGCCCGTTGCTGGAGATGCCGAGGAACAGCTCAGTGAAGGGAGCCAGCATTGGCTCCCATCCCAGCCCCTGCCTGCCGGAGGGCCAACCTGAGGGCTCCCGGGCCACAGAACACTCTTCCGCCCTCGGCCACAGCAGCCACAGGAAATCCCGCGTCAGTGTAGGCTGTGGTGCAAAGCAAGGAGGCCACGGAATCTGTAGCCCTGGTTCCAGGCCAGGTGTACCACTAGCTTGCTCTGTGACCCCAGGCCAGCCACTTCATCTCTCTGAGCCATTTTCCTCATGCATAAAATGTGAATAATAGCAACTGTCCTCTCTCTCACATGACTGGCTGTATGACCTTGGACCAGTCAAAGAGGCTCTCTGGCCTCTGTTTCCTCCTGTGTGAGGTCAAGTGAGGGAAGAAGTGCTCCAATACAAAGGGCTTTAGCCACCTGTGGTCTCTTGGGGGAGAAGGGAGGAGGTTAGGCCCCACGTCTGTCCTGGACTCCTAGTCAAGGTCAAGGGGTTTCTCTGTGCTTCCAGACCAGGCCTTCCCCATTACACGCTGACATGGTGGTGGAGTGAGCTGTGTACCTGTCTGCCAGCCCCATGGATCCAGGACATGTGGGCCAGGGACCGGTCCGTAGTCAGTGCTTAGGGTGCTTGTGTAACGTGAACGCACGAGCGAGAGTGAAGCCTCCAGATGCCTCCCTGCAGCCAAGGCCGCCTCCACTTCTTCCTCCCCGCTGTCAGCATCATCAGCAGCCAGGGTGTCGCGTCTGTCATTTGACCATCATAGGCAGAGCATGCTTGGCGGGGGTGGGGTGGGGGGACTTTAATGTCGGGCTCCCTGGCTGCAGGAACACGTTTGGCAGCTGTGGGAGGGGGTGCAGTATCCTCAAAGGAGCTCAGTGCCCCCTCTGCAACCCCCCAGGGGCTGTTCCTGTCTCTCCCTGGGGATCTGATGTGGGCTCCCTACTCCACCCCACCCAGTGTGGCGGCACTCTGTGTTGACAGACTCTTTCATCTGGAGAGTTCAAAGAGTTCGTCACCAGGTGGCAAATGCAGTGAAGCCCAGTTTATGGAAGCAGAAGTCCGGTCCGAGGAGGGAAGAGCTGGGGATCCAGGTTACTAAGTGGGCCAGCCGGAGCACCAGGCCAGAACGTGGGTCCCTGGGTGAGGAGGACATGCCCAGCCAGGCTCTTATGGGTGACCATGCTTAGTCATCTCTCTCCCCCCACGCCTGTTACAGCGCCTGGCTCCTAATAAATGCCTGATAAACGTGCGTCGACTAACTGCCTGACTCGGCTCCCCTACCTTCACACCTAGCTCCCTGCCGGCCGCACTTGCACTCTCCAGAGCTGAGCTCCTCAGCCTCTCCCTGGGGCCTCTCCCACTCCCAAGCCTTTGCTCAGGCTGCACCCTGGCCTGGAATGCCCTTCCCCGCTTCCTCTGCCTGATGAAACTCCACTAATCTTTCAAGAATGGGCTCAGACGTCACTGGTCACTGCTGCCCTGAAGGCTTGCTTCCCTGCCCCCAAGTTCCCAAGGCGGAAGGGACGGCTCCCGCACCGTGTCCCCACGTTCTGTGCATCCCTCTATCACTATGCTTCTCACACTGTGTCCTGGAAGGGGAATAAGATACCACAGTCCCCAGGGACATCGTGAGGATGGGCGGGCGAACCCCTGCACTCAGTCAGTGTAAGCTAGATTATCACTCCTCGTCGCCCCAGCACCGCGCCCCACTGGGAGTGTGCTGGCCACATGCAGGAATGGCCCACATGGGCTGTGTGGTCAGAAGGAAGGTCAAGGGTGGCTCTGGTGCCTCTGAAGGCACTGGCCCATGCGTCAAGACCCATGGGCTGACATTGCAAGACTTGCCCAATGTCTAAGTGAGGTTGTCCTTCCTGGAAACTGACCCTCAGCCTCTTGACACGCCCACCAGCTGCTCCACCTCCCCTGAAGACACTCTGGGCCAGTTGTCCAGAGTGAGGGCTTCACACTCAGACTCCCTGGTGAACAACCTGGGCAAATCAGTTAGCCTTTCTCAGCCTCGATGTCCTCATCTGTAACCCGGAGGTGATGTTAATGTGTCTGCCAGCACCTCCAGGGGTGCTGCTCCGTGCACCTGGGCATCACAGCCAGCAGGGCCTGCAGCCCCCCGCCCAGGCCTCCTCGTGCTGAGACTCCCCGCACCATCACTCGGGCATAGGGCCTGCTGGTCAGGAGCTGTAGGCTTAAGAAGGTTGACTTCTTGATGCTGAGGAGTGGGAGGGCAGGGCAGGGTCAGCTGAGGGGTGGCTGGGGCTGCCCCCTTCACCCAACTCATCCGAGACAGGACTTGCCTCTAGCAGCTGAGGCGTGTGCATGTGCACTGTGTTTGTGTGCATGTGTGTGCACATGCCTGTGTGTGTGTACAACAGTAGACTTGGGCTGC